CTACGCCTTAACAGTAGGTACAGAACGTACTAAAGGAATCATGCAGAACCTAAGCAAGCATTGTAATACAGCACAGGAACTTCCTTCATCTACAATGAAAGTAGTAGGGAACTTCCCAACAGAACCCTGGCCAACAACAGAAAGCAGCTAGCTAGCTCCGGAGATAGCAAATGCTCTGCAGTAAACAGAGCTATCATAGTTGAGCCTACAAAGACCGCCCTCGTGAAAATAACACATTCCCTTTATCTCAAAGGGTGCTTTTGAAATAAAACTGCTCACTCCAGACTGGGAAGATTACAGACCTTTATTTACTGAAATCCATTATTTCTACAGAATAAACACCTTGTTAGGAGACAGCTCATGTACCACTAGGCAAAACTGCAGAAATAATCAACTTGGGTTTATTTTACAAGATAAGGCTGGTATTTGCACTGCTTTCAGTATCCAAAGTGTCACGTCTATTTAAATTCTTATCAATAAAAGTAAATGTAAATCCACACTTTGGACAAAAAGAATGGAAGTTCTCAGCAAATCATAAAACAGGATACTTCTTTAAATACAAGTAAACCCACCTTATTAAACTAACATCTTTGTGTAGTCACATTAATTGCATCAATTGCAAACACATTACCTGGTCCTTCTTTTTGTCCTTCAGTTGTTTAATTGCACCCAATTTAGACTTCTGGTTTTCTGCATCAAAACTAATATATAAACCTCCAAGCTTCTTGATATTCAAACCAGGATCTATGCTGCTGGAAAGATGTAAACTGGAAGAGAAACAGTTAATGATTAGTACATTGTAACAAGCATGCACCTGAACCTCCTAATGTCCTCTAAGAAAGATAAACTCATTCTTCTTGCTTAGGTTCAGTTCTGCAATGATTTTAAGTCTTACTAGCTAGTAAATAAGGTGACAGATTCAGGGGGGATGGTAATATAAATTGAGAGGCTACTGAAGAACAGTATCTGTGCAATCACGTCCACAGATCTTTCCTATTAATTCTAATGCTGCATTCCTATCTTAGATATTACTATCTCCTATAAAAGTGAATTCTTCATTTGCTTCACTTTACCAAAAGAACTCATGACCAGCATACTACTTCTACACACCGAGAGGCTTGTGAGCTAAAACTAAAAGGAAAACCACCACAAAAGCACAAACATGAGTGGTAAAAATGTTCTCAGCTCTTAGAGAAAAAAAAAAAGAAGCTAGAATTCATCCTAAAACTGTTTAAGACCTTTATTGTTTAAGAGTACCAGGAGTAACGTCATTAAACATTTCAAAGCTGATTTGTTTCAGTTTCTCATTACTTCAATCAGGCAGCCAAAGGAATGCATCTACAAAAAAGAGACAACGGCTGACTCAAAAGGAGGTTTTTGATGACAAGAATGCTTAAAAGCTATAAAGTATTACAGAGAAATATGGTACGACAAATATTTCTTGTAGCCTGAATGCTTATTAATACAAGCCCGTCACAACTTTCTAGTATACTATATCTGCTATAATGCCTTTACACGGAGTTTTTGTAAGACTTCTGGCCTACATGAAGGTTTTTAGAAGATTAATAAATGAGACTTATTTATCCAACCTAAACAGAGCATTATGCTTTAAATATATAAAGCATATAAAGAGGTTTTAGCAGGAGTTGGACTACAAGAGCTCAAGAGGTCCCACCTCACCTAAATTATTCTGTGCTGGGCTGATTTCACTTGAAGTGTCATTGTTTCACAGCACAAGAACTAAAAACATTATTAAAGGATATGCAACTATTTAGGATTAAAAAGCATGATAGAATTAGCCAATGTGTAAGGAATTTATTGGACTTTTTGTTACTGATATCCAAACTAAACACACAATTAAGAAAACTACAACCCAAACAAGCAGTTAAGTCAGCCTGAGCAGTCTAACCCAGTTTCATACTCTGGTTTCTAAGCTGTACACATACTATTTCAGACAGTTCTGTTCTGCTACATACAGCACTGAAAAAAAAAACAACAAACTCTCCAATTATGGACTAAATTGGTACGTTATAATCTGTTCAACCCCACTTCACACATCAATGACTTATGTGATGAGAGACTACTTCCTCATTTACTCCACATCATTTAGCACTTAATGTACATCTCTTACACATATGCTTGAATGAAATGCGGATTCTTAAGTTATTGCCAGAAAGATACTTACACATCATTCTGATTTTTCAATAAATCATCATCATCTTCCTTCTCATCTTCATCTATCAATTCTTCTTCAGCCTCTTCCAGATCTGACAATTCTTCACCTTTTTTACTTCCTTCATGCTTATTTTCAGCATCACTACCTTGGTCTATCTGATCTAGGTAATACTTTCGGTCGGAACTTATGCCAGGCTTGGTATCAATTACAAAAAGCCCTTCAGTATCCAGTGAACTGGTTTCTAAAGATTTGCTGAGGGAAGGAGTCCTCTTATCTGCCTCTTTATAATACAGATTCTCTTCAGTTTTATCTATGTCCGCCACATCACTATCTTCAAATTCATCACTTTCATCTTCGGCGAGAAACAATGCAAGGGAATTGTTTCCATTGCTTGCAATTCCACTGCAGTGAGCTACAGGTTCCGCATATTCTCCTGTTTGATCTTCAGCACTGTCCACACCGCTTTCAAGCATCCCGCATCCACTAACGCTGTCAGTTCCTTGTGCAACAGCTTCATCCTTTTGTGGGCTCCTCACTTCAGTAGCTTGCTCATCCTTTCCTAAGTTATCAGCATGGGTGAAAGGCTGCTGTGGATCTGCCTCAGCACCCTCTCTCTTGCATTCTGGATCTTTTTTATCTTTATTTAGTGTTATTTGCCCTTGAAATTCTAAAAATTGTTTGGGACTCATGCTATCAGAGAAATTCATATGCTCTAACTTTTCCACCCTCACAAGGATTTTACTGTAGTTTTGTATTTGGCCACATGCTTCCTCTGAATCATCAGCCCCAACTGACTGTGTATTTTTAATTGCCCTTTTCTCAGGCGATTCACTGTCACTTGGTTTCATTTCTGTAAGACTGCTGGGTGTCACATCATGCAAAGACTCTTCTTTCATGCCTTCACTCTGGGTTGTATTGGCAGATTTGAAGGAACATTTGCTTTTAGGTGAACTGGGTTCTTCATTATCCTCAGTGACAGGGGAAGCATCTTCTGTGTCAGAAACAAGTTCTGCAGCTGGTCTAGAATCAGAAATGACAGGCTCAGATTTAACAGTGTCCTCAGTTAAATTCTCATCTTCTGAAACAATTCTGTTTCCCTTCTCAGCCTTCTTAATATTTTCTGCTTGTGATTTGATCTGCATGCTCCTAGTAACTCGTCTGTTACTGATGGATGGTTCCATATGAGAGCTTAAGCAGCATGAGTCTGCATCAGAAATATCTTCACTCTGGGCTTCGTGAACTGTATCTGGCTGCAACTCCTTTTTGCTTCGCCTGCTTCTCGTAGTTCTGGTAACACCAGAAACAGTGGAGGAACAAGACTCAGCTTCAGAAACATCATCTTCATCCAGAATCCCATTTAACTTATTTAGAAAAGCTGTCTTGTTGTATCTTCTTTTGTCAGGAGAATCCGGCTGATAAGGAACTACAATTTTTCTTCGTCTTGTTACCCTTATAAACAAAGGTGTCTGAAGACCAGATGCAGCAGAGCAGTTCGATTCTGCTTCTGACACATCCCCATCAGCTTGTGGTTCAGCAACTGATTGTACTGAATGGACAGTTGTGTTCTCATTTCTAGTCAGTTCTGCCTCTAAGCTATCTCCGACATTTGACTTTGTTTCTGCATGTTCCAACTCTTCAAACTGAGATTCCTGAATTACCTCTGGCATACAAATGGATTTAGTTCTTCTCCTAGTCATCCTCACAGACACAGTACTGAGTTCAGCAGCTGCCATCTGCAAAGGGAGTAAAAAAAACATAAGTGTGCAATTAACAGACAAAATAACCCCGTAAAAAGGATGCTATGCAAATCACTAATAATCTCCTCTACTCAAACTGACAACATACTGCATGTCTCTGTCTATGTGGAAGAAGTACTAACGAACCATCCCGTGCTCATGCTTGTCTACTCTCTTTTGGTCAAATCAGAAGAAGAAACACATTTGTCCATTAAGAAATACAGACAAGTATCTTCTAGTTCTACACGTTCTGGCAAGCTGTGAAGGGAAGGAAATTCAGAAGCCATGTGCACAAACGTTACAAAATTCGCGTAACTATAAAACACTGAAGCCTAGCAAATGGCAGGATGTGCTCCCAAATGGTTTCTATAACCAGTTTTAGGCACAGACTGGCCTCTCGGCAACCGCAACACCAGGTACAGCCTGCTTCTTTAACGATGCTTCTAGCGCCCTGGAAAGCGATTCAGAATCTGGGAAAGAAAACACAGGGCGACAGCACGCTCTTCCCAAAGCGCAGAACCCCGCTGGTTCAACACACACCACGCTGCCTCCGGATCAGTATTTACCAAGTGGAAAACCCACAGAGAACTGCAAAAACAGCAGCAGTACAAAGAAGAACGACGTCATCTCCTAACCTTTACCCCTAAGCCGCGTTAACAGGTTAACACCGGACCCCGCTGCGGCCCCAGCCCCGTTCCACCGCGTGTGGCAGCGCGTAAAGATGGCCGCCACCGCGCTGCCACAGCCCGCACCGCGGCTGCCCGCGGCCCCGGCCCCACTCACCTCCCCCGCTCCGGCGGGCTCATTCTCAGCCCCGCTGGGGCTGCCATCGCCTCCCTCGGCCGGCGTCCCCGGCTGCTGGCGCCGCGCCCCCGCCCGCCTGGTGACCACCATCTTGTCCCCGCGCCCGCCCCTTCCGCCCGCCCTTCCGGCGGCTGCCTCCGCCCAGAGCGTCGAGCCGCGCTCTGAACGCAGATGCGGCGCCGGTGGGCGCACGGCCTCTGATCGCATGAAGCGGCGGGAGAGGTTGATGACCACATGTGAAATACCGTGACTGCGATGAGGAGAACTCGTACAAAGCACAGAGGTAAACGCCTACGAGAATTTCAACTTTTAATTCAAACTTTCACGTTACTGAAAGAAATCCCATCTCTTTGATGCAAAACAAGTTAATGAAATAACCTGATAAATGTTATGCTGTCAGCAGCTCCCAAAAAATAATCTCTTAGAATCACCATGTCTCAAAGGGTGCTTTTCTACACAAGCAAACTGTCACCAGTTTACAAAAAGGAAATAAATAATTACCCCATTAGTGCAGCCTACACGTTTGAGCACAATTCTTGGTTTGTAGCATCTCCATTTATAAAACTGAGCACACACGCAAGCAATACAATATCCAATGTCAGCAGCCAAACAGAGGCAGAAGGTACAGGTAGTGGCTAGCAGCAGCACACAACTCAAAGCTGGCAGAGAAGTTTAAATGACACGTATTTGAGATAAAGTGACCCAGCATTTTAAAAAGACCACATTTTGGTTAGGATTAAGAAACCAACCAACCCAACCCAAATGTTTATTGACGCATTATTAGTTCCAGTTCCCCATCTGTCCCATTGATCGTAAGACCTGAAGAAGTCCAGGAAAATTTCCCCATATTTGCCACCTCCAGCTATTTAGGACTCAAAACTTACCTCGAATATTAAGCTTTTACCTTAGTGGAATGGATTATAGGGACTCAAAACTTACCTCAAATATTAAGTAAGCTTTTACCTTAGTGGAATGGATTATAGGAAGCTGACACTCTAAACACTACCTACAGGCATTCAAACACCACTAGCTGCCTACATGACAATTGGAAAGATGTTAGTGAAAATTCATTCCCTTTAGAGCCCCAGTCTCAGAATATATACAACTAAGTTAATTAGTACTACTCATATGAAGTCCTGCTCGTGCCTGAAATCAAAAGGAAAAATCAGTATTTTAGACACTCAGTTTCAAGCTCCTGCTGAATTACAAGTTGAGCTTTTGCTACCTATTCTGATTCAAACACCTTTCCGATGGAAAGACTACATTAAACAAGAAGCCTTGCCTTAGCTGCAGCAATCTGTCTAGGATTCAAAAGCCAGTTTGCTAAGCTACTGCCCCAGAAATATACCTAACTTCAAGCTAATCCTTGCTTGCATCACTCTTGAATGTCACTCCAGCAACAAAGTTTCCTGGGCAGCCTCAGAAGAAGTCCTTTAGCAATCCTACCGTGAACAGCTTCAGCCTTTGCTGTTCTGACTTGGCCCATCCTGATTGTGGAGTTCACAAGTGTCAAACACAGAAGCCACGGTGAGAAGACAGGCACAATTCAGTTTCTGATTAACAGATTTTGTCATCGCTTGTTTGCAATGCTTATTTGAAACACTCACACAACAATACATTTTTCTGTTTCAAACAGCAAAGATGCCAACACATGTGCAAACTCTAAACAAAGCACACTGAGGCACAGAGCAGCCAGAAGGAATTCAAGTAACAGACAAAGTAACGGGGAAGATGCATTCTTCCTAAGTCAGGAAGGCCTTTTACACTCTATTAAAAATAAAGCAGTTTTCCCACCACCCAAATTAAACAGCTGACTTGCCTATATATACATACCAAGTCATGAGATACCAGTTGCATTTTTCTGGGTAATTTTACATAAAAGATTATGATTTTCTATAAAAATCAGTCCTTGAATGCTTGAAATCCATGTACCTACCAGGCAAGTAACTCTTATTTAAGAGAAATTAATTCTTTTTAAATAAAAATATATAAGTTTCTCTCTACTACCTAATGGCAGCTACAATATAATGATAATTTTACAGTGAACTGGTCATAAAAAGTATTTTAAACTTTCGCTATTAGTAATTCAAACTAAACCCAAATATTTCATCTTTTCAATTAACTGGTCAATAGGTTAAGTAAGAAAAATAGCGTTAGAGCACTGTAGACACTCCTGCTGACATTACACTGAGTAATTACAACTTTTGGTCTTTGTTACAAATGGTGTAAAAGTGTTTCTATGAAAAAAAGCAATGTTTCCCCCATCCCCAAGGAACTAAAACAGTAAGCCATTAAAGAAAATAAGTGTTTTAAAAGGAATTCCTTTTAGCTTGCATGATATAGCCTTTGGACTTGATAATTCCTCTGCTTTTAACAATGACGGAATACCGGAGGAGCCATAAAGGAATCCATTCGTGTGCTTTCATGTCCTGGATGCTTTCCTGAAGAACTTCTTGGAAACTTGCTTCACAAAGTAATTCTGAAGTTAAAAAGGGATATTCATGCTTTAAATCATGTCATGTAAACAGCTGCAAAAAGCAACACTTTCAATAAGAGAAGCCTTTTCCTACAGTCAGAAATCTTAAGCAGTGCCAGATGCTCCACAGATCCACTCTTCTGGAATGCACATATGGTGAAAGCAGCTGCATATTACTGAAGCAATCTTCAGGGCACCTTTGTTTGTTTCAACATTAAGTATATCCCCCAAAACTGAGATTTCTACAGTATCAAATGGAGTTGATCAGCACAGCCATTAGCAGGAGGAAAGTAAAATTTGAGAAGCTAGCTAGACAAACCACAGGTGGGTAAGACATAAGGCCACAATCAGCCAAGTACTGCACATTCTCAGTTACCTCTGCAGTCACTGAAAGCTCAACACTTTACAGCATCTCCCATAACTGGGCTCATAACAACTGCAAGCCCAGAAAGCATTAAGAAAAATGGGCTTAAACTCCACAAAATGGAAAAGGAAGTCAAATACAAATCCTCCTAGTTTCCTCTGGAAAGCCAGCCAAGGGAACAATCTCTTTGATGAGGAGTGTTCCCAAAAGAGAAGTCTGAATACTCTTCAGCTGACCATTACAGAAAAGTTAAGCTTAGCAAACAATGCATAAGGGAATAATTATTTGCTTTGTTTTCTATCCAAATCCTCCTCTTCAGGTCATGACTCTCATTAAATTAAAAGTTGCAACTTGGATTTCACAGGACATGGAAATGGTCAAACTGAATGGCAATTCATGTTGTACGCTGCTAAAGCGGTGCTGATACATGCTCAAGCAGTGGTGAAATGCATCAGTTCTAACAGTGGTACTATAAAGCATGTAATTAATAAATAGTATTTCATATACTTTTTTTTCAGGGGGGAATGGGAAGAAAAAGAGAAGAGAAGTATGATCAGCAGGAATAAGGTCATAAGGAAGAACGTAGGGAAGGAATTAACTGAACATTGTTTCAGACCTCTCACAGTTCCAGCAAGCTATATAAGGTGTCATTATAGTGAAGAAGATTAGATGATGTTTGAGAGAAACTAATCCCAGAATATTCTTAGGAAGCTGCTAACTCGGAGCTCTCAAGTCTAAAGAAAAGTCTCCAAGTCCTTCAATCATTCAGTAAATTAATGCACAAACCAAGAATTTACACCAACTCTTTTTGTAATATTGGTATTTTAACAGATCCCTACTTTGAGGGAATCCTGCTTAAAACATAGTAATGTTACATATCTCACATTACCAAACTACTTGAAGATCAACTGACCAACATTTCTGTGCAAGCTCTTTCACAGACAAGTTCTGGACAAGTGGGCATTCATTTGTCATTTACTGACCTTCAGCAACAGAACTGTAATTTCATTCTATGCTTTGTGAAAATGAGCTATTCTAATTTTTGAACATACATAGTACAGATTTCTCAGTAGTTTTTTCTTCTATTTATTTCAATAAACTATCCAAGTGTGGAAGATTGCCCTTCCCCTCCTTTCTTGAAGGAAAAGCAAGAACTGAATGGAAATATTTTATAAAGGAAGATCTTTTAGAATCCTTGGTTCAGTATTCAAATGCAATGAACGCTAAGTTCAGATAAAGATTATTCCCAATTTTGTACTGAATAATGCACTCAGAAATCTTCCTTCAATTTATCTGGCAAAGCCTTACCTTTTGGGTCATTGTGAGTTAACAGTTGTATGTCAAACTGTTTTGCAAATGCTGTGAGATCAGGTGGCATCACACAACAGGAAGCTAGGTTCACCTGATTACTACTCGGTTTTACCTGAAAGTAACAAATACTTTTATAAGAAAAAAACATAAATGTACGTTGCTTCCCTTATGCCCTGTATTACAACAGAAAGTCTTCTTTGAACAATCTGTTTTGAGGTCTCAACAAGGCTAAGTAAGTCTGCATGATCATCAACAGGCAACTCCTATATCTGCAATTTCCTGCAGCACAGAGCCCAAAACAAGAATAGGATCTAACTTCAGATGCTGTCATAGCAAGATTAATACTAACCCATTCTGGCTTCCCATCTGCTGTGCTCCCTGAACAGCAGCATTTCCCCCCTTCCACCTCAGTAAAAACATAACATGGGCATGAGTTTGATAAAGACATTAAATAAAATGCAAATAAACTTTTTTAAGGATATATAATTTGCAGTCTTCCATGCCTGCAGGGTTAAGTTAAAAGGGATGCTCTTCCACTGACTCTTTCTGCTAGTCACAAACTGCACTCATGACCACCAGGCAGATGGCTGTTAATCCCCTCAGTTATCCTCCTCAGTACACACAAAATGGCAAGGAGGACAAATGAGGACTCTCAAAAGGACCTCTTCTGCAGATACAGAATGTTCACATGTGACAAGAAATGTCGTAAAAGGAGTATTCAAAGAACGAATAAGGCAACAATAAATCCTTACATGAGCATGGAGACATACTAGTACACACCTCCATCACTCTAATGGAAAGAGCGATTAGTCACATTGGACAACACAATATTGTGCCACTTCATTCGCAACCTGTTTTCCTCTTCACATTTAAACTCAGCATTTAAACAGCATCTTCCTAAGGGGAAATCCCTCCATTCATAACACATCTTAAAGTGAAAATGGCAGTTTTCAGAGTCACTGGAATAAATCTGGAGGTTTAAGAGTGCTGTTTAGTTTATACTCATTACTAAACATAAAAGCATTCAAAACCCAAACCTTCACTACTTCAAAGAACCTGCTATTGAACAGACTTGGGGTTTCCAGCCTTTGCTGGCCTGTATCTAAAAATACCAAACAACGGTCAGTCACACTTTGAGCCTCCCCTACCACAAACAAGGTTGTGACCATCCATAAGATGCTAAAAACAGGGCTAACAAATATTTTGTATATAGACTGCTTTCTAACAAAAGTTTATAACAATGTGGCAGTCAACAAAACCAACAGTTATTCTGTGCTAGAAATCCTACAAATAGGAAGTTTGTTCTCACCTGTGCCCAGAGATACAGCTGTTCTAACAGTGTTTTATCTAGGTCAGAGGTACCTATGGCAACAATCTTGTTGTTTTGAACTAGATTTTCAAGTTCTTGCCAATAAGGCTGCAAATACTCCAAGGAGAAGCTAGTTCCATCTTCAACAGGAGGTGGGGCAATAATGACTGAGTCTAACTGAGCCACACCGAGGGCAGAACACGCTGAGGAAAAAGAAGAGAGACACTGCAAAGTCTTTGGTGAGGTAACAACACAAGCATCATGACTCAGCAAAACCCACGCCTCCTGCCTCACTCTGCTAGCTTCCCTTTCACTGTTTCAAACTCTTCAGTGTATCAGCAGTCAAGGATAGCAACAGACCGGATTTAGAAAAGAAGCAAACATACAGCTGAAAGCCAAGGTTCAGTTGTAAGTCTTGGGAAAAACAAAAACATCACCAAAGCAAGCCTGAAGCTTTTTTTCTCTTTTTCAGTGCTAAAACTGTTTTTCTCTTAAGGCAGTGGGGACGTGCAATTTTTGATGCCTTCACTCTCCGTTCCTTCCAAAATTTTTAACTTTCACTATGAACTCTAACTCAAATACAGGGCATGGACTAGGAGGACTATTCGCTCTATGTGCGGAGTTAAGACTAAAGCACACTAAATCTGGGGATTTAAATTGACAGAGAAGTGGCAAGTCTCAGAATATCATTGAGCTTTAGCAAAGATTAAAGTCATGAGGCCTCTTCTGCAAAGCAAAAAGAAGAAAACTACGGAGCTAAATAAATTATTTTCTTCTGGAAGAGGATTCTATCCATGCATTTTTAACAAATGGTACCACAACTTCCAATAAAGAGGCTATTAACTGGAGTACTGATAGAGAAGAATTACACCTGACCCTCTGTTCTTCGGTAACCCCGTATGCCCAACCATCTTCCAAAGTAATAAAGTTCAGTGCTGCTCACAATTACTGCTACCATAGACTAACAAAACTTAATGTATCAATGCAGCCATTATTTTCATTAAAACTATTTTAGCAGCTGATTGCAGCATTGTTTTATTTCTTAAATAATCTCTGAAATACTGCACAGTTAGTAGCAAAGTTCATCATGTTAAAAACAACTGGCAAATAACATCCAACTGGTAGGAACTATTGTATCACTTGTTACTACAGTATCACATGCTATTCATTTTTTAACAAGTTTTGAGTGAAAGACTAAAAGCTTGCTCCTGCTTGGAGCAAGCAATCAGATTTGAGTTTGTGGACCTAAGGTTACAGTGATCCACATTTAATAAGTTTGCTGACTGAACTAATGCATATATAGACTTTATTACCCAAGTCTCTCTTAATTAGAAAAGAGGACATACTGTGGCAGTCACTAAACACATCTCTTGTATAGAAAAGATTCTGATTTTATTTCTGAAGTAGTGAAGCAAAAAGAAACCCTCCCAGAAGTTTGAGTTTCATACTTACCCAGGTCAATTGCATCTCTGATTGATGAAGAGTTTGATCCAACAATGAAAAGTTTTGCTGTTTTCAAAGAAATAGTAATCAGTAACTAAACACTATTATTAAACATACAACTATTTATTTTTGCTATATACAGTTCTTCTCGGGTAAAGGGTTCTTAGAATATACACCATTACTACAAAAATAGGGGGAAAATAGCCTTCTCAAAGGTGACTGCCATTAAATACACTATTCTCAAACTTCAAGGTGGTTGTGCAGTCTTAGAACAAGAAGTCATTCAGTTGGATGGTCTAATAAAACTCTAAAGCTGGGACTTCAGCATCAAGACAGTAAACAATAACCATAATAACCTGTATAAAACCCAGAATGTAATAGTGCAAATAGACCTCTTCACAACTTATTGAGACTCAAATGTCCTTGTGTTACTGCATTGTCTCCTTCAAGTTCATCATATTCAACCTGGAGATATTACACAAATGAATGTGCTTCCATTCCTATGTCTTAATTCCAGTTTTATCTGTAATATTTTGCTTCAGAAAAATCAAAGATTGACAGAATACTTGTAAAATGTCTTGAAGGAATGCAAGTTAAACTACAAAAATGCTGAGCTGCTTTAAAACCTGAAATATGAATTCAAGTCTTTCTTAGCCAACTTCTGGATTACCCAAAGTAGGACAGTATGCACCGATGTCATTTGACTTTCAATTGCAAAACATGGGGGGGGGGGGGGGGGAATACATATATATGAATATCCTAATAATGACTGCACATGAAAACTTTTTATGCCACCATATTTTTTACTACATCCTTACCTGACACTTTCAACTCATCCCTTTCTTCAGGGTTTATTTTTTCTATAGCTTGAGCTACAGTACATTCCAGAACCTCCAGTATTTCCTGTAGTATAAATACACGAGACTTAGGAACAAAACAAAACAAACAAAACAAAAGAAAATGGGAAAGTTTGGGAAAATTTCATCCTCTGACCTTATTTAAGACTAGGCTGACACCTCACGTTAGCTGGCACAAGGTGACTTTTTAAAGTCTTGACCTACATTAGATGTTATATTATAAACACAGAGAATATAGACAGAGAATTCAAATAATATTCAGAAAATTCTTAGTACCATGCACCACCTTGCCCCCAGCCAAGAACACTCTGGCAATTTTTGCTGCTTTAAGAAGAAATCCTCAAGTGAATACTTGAGTCATTCCATGGAGACAGCATTTTAAACAAAAGTTGTTTTGGTTTGTTTTTTTGTGGTTTTGGTGTTTTGTTTTGTTTTTTAATTACCACTATAATCCATAAAAGAATGTGGAATTATGTAGCGAACATGTCTGGACAGTAAAACCTAGCTTACACTAAATATTAATCATAGAATCATAGAACAGTTAGGGTTGGAAAGGACCTTAAGGTCATCTAGTTCCAACCCCCTGCCATGGACAGGGACACCTCACACTAAACCATCTCACCCAAGGCCTCGTCCAGCCTGGTCTTGAACACTGCCAGGGATGGAGCATTCACAACCTCCCTGGGCAACCCATTCCAGTGCCTCACCACCCTAACAGTAAAGAACTTCTTCCTTATATCCAATCTAAACTTCCCCTGTTTAAGTTTTAACCCATTACCCCTTGTCCTGTCACTACAGCCCCTAATGAAGAGTCCATCCCCAACATCCCTATAGGCCCCCTTCAGATACTGGAAGGCTGCTATGAGGCCTCCACGCAGCCTTCTCTTCTCCAGGCTGAACAGCCCCAACTTTCTCAGCCTATCTTCATACAGGAGGTGCTCCAGTTCCCTGATCATCCTCATGGCCCTTCTCTGGACTTGTTCCAACAGTTCCATGTCCTTTTTATGTTGAGGACACCAGAACTGCACACAATACTCCAGGTGACGTCTCACAAGAGCAGAGTAGAGGGGCAGGATCACCTCCTTTGACCTGCTGGTCACGCTCCTTTTGATGCAGGCCAGGATACGGTTGGCTTTCTGGGCTGCGAGCACACACTGAAGCCAGTTCATGTTCATTTTCTTATCGACCAACACCCCCAAGTCCTTCTCCGCAGGGCTGCTCTGAATCTCTTCTCTGCCCAACCTGTAGCTGTGCCTGGGATTGCTCCGACCCAGCTGTAGGACCTTGCACTTGGCAAACATGTTTAACAAGACCAGTCCCAACACTGATCCCTGAGGGACACCACTTGTTACTGGTCTCCAGCTGGACATTGAGCCATTGACCACAACTCTTTGTGTGCGGCCATCCAGCCAGTTCTTTATCCACCGAGGGGTCCATCCATCAAATTGATGTCTCTCCAATTTAGAGACAAGGATGTCATGCAGGACAGTGTCGAACGCTTTACACAAGTCCAGGTAGATGACATCAACTGCTCTACCCCTGTCCATCAGTTCTGTAGCCCCATCATAGAAGGCCACCAAATTGGTCAGGCAGGATTTCCCCTTAGTGAAGCCATGCTGGCTGTCACCAAGCACCTTGTTGTTTTTCATGTGCCTTAGCATGCCTTCCAGGAGAATCTGCTCCAAGATTTCGCCAGGCACAGAGGTGAGACTGACTGGTCTGTAATTCCCCGGGTCATCCATTTTCCCTTCTTGAAAATGGGGGTTATATTTCCCTTTTTCCAGTGGTCGGGAACTTCACCTGACTGCCATGATTTTTCAAACATGATGGCCAGTGGCTTAGCAACTTCATTTGCCAGCTCCTTCAGGACCCGCGGATGGATCTCATCAGGTCCCGTGGACTTGTGTACGTTCAGGTTCTTGAGATGGTCTCGAACCAGATCCTCTCCTACAGTGGGCCTAGAGTCATCATTCTCACAGGCCCTGCATCTGCCTTCCAAGACTTGAGTGGTGTGGTCAGAGGCTTTGCCAGTGAAGATCGAGGCAAGTAAGTCATTAAGAACCTCAGCCTTCTAATGTCAACTGGACCACAACATCTTACAGAGACAAGTGTTTGTATTCTCTTCTTAAGAATCATTAGATCCTCCACAAATCTTTCAACAGTAACTGCCTCTCCACACTCATGTGGAATGCAGCAACGTGCAGCTGATGCCACCATCACTCAAGAGCCAGTAACAAAACATGCATACCACCACTCCTACCTGATTTAGGTCCTGTCCAACCTTTGAGCTCCATTCGGTCAGCGTTTTCTGAATGCAGTCCCGCACCTACAAAATATTTGTTCATGTTGAAAAGGAGCTTCATGTTACAGCTGCACAGAAACACAATGATTCATAGGCATGTGAGACAGACTGCACAGGTGAACTAAAGACACCATTCCTCCAACCACAGAAGATTCTTCCTGCATAGCTTCCATGTGAAACTTGTTCAAACTAGTTTACTTGCTTTCCTCTCCTCTTTCACAAAGAGTTTTAGCAGTAATACAAGCACTGTACTGAATTTATTTCTCAGACCAATGCCATCTTTAAAGCAAAGAACAATGCTAAGCAACCAACAATGCTATTCAACTCTGCCAAACCACTGTTTAAATCCCTCATTAATGAAGGGGAACCTTCAGACCCCACCCCACACTTGTATTTTCCTGCATCAAGAGATACAAAATAAACTTGCCTAGGATTCTGATCATGAATTTTCTTGAACCTAGTAAGGCATTACTATTAAGCCAGCTAATTAACTGCGTATTATAGCAGTGCTTCAGCTGTACTGATGCTCTACCTTTCCTCTGATACATCTTGAGAGTTGTTATCCTGCAGGCTGAGTACATGTACTGTCAGGTCTGCTGTCTGACACAGGTAGGCGCACTTTCATGAGCTGCTGCTTCACTTCACTTTTAGCAATACATTTTATAACTGTGTAAACACCTAGTTTTTATACTATTAAATAACAATTTCCTGAGACACCTAACATGAATTCAGAGGGTTCTTAATACCTTACACAAGCTAGAAGCCAAACACACCCCATCCCCAAAAATGCCAAAATCCCAGGAGATCACAAAGTTTAAGAAATAATACAGTAATAATACTTCATAAGCACAAAATCTGCACATTCTTTCCCAGTCATTTAAAACAGCATGAAAAAAAAAAACAAACAACCAAACTAAGTCTAACAGCAAGAATTTACTCCCCCTAGTAAATCCACAATGCTGGAAATTTTCAGCCTATTTTGATGCAACTTTTAACATTATCTTTTTCCTTTCTGAGGGAGACTGTGTTACACATGTACATTAAATATACTGCTACTTTGCAACTGTCACACTTGATATTTCTATTGCAGTTAGCATGGACCAGCCTCTTGCCTCCAAAGCACAGGACTGCCTTGCCCTCAATACCATCTCTGACGGCTTTGGACAGCTTTTCCAGATACAGCTATATCCCCAGTCTTCCAACGTTAGGGTTCATAGTCTGCAAAATATTAGCTTACATTCTGCCACTGACAGTTATACACATATCACCTACACCAACCAGAAGTGTTAAAAGACAATTTAGTTCTGATCATTAACACCAATTGTTTGCTTTTAGAACCCCAGCAATTCTGGAAAGCAGGCAGCCTTATGTTTAAGTGCAGGTTTCCCTGTAAACAAGTTAATTTGAATACTTTAACTGATCAGTTATGCAGTGGCCACTCTTTATTTAGCGACCCTACAGGAGGGGCTCACACAGGTGTGCCCATTAAGATACAGCTACCTCTCTGGTGCAGGATCTAGCCCTATTTTACACAGCTCACACGTTATAATAAGCAGCCAAGCTAAATAAAAATGTTATTACTGCACAACAGCTATATTAAAGTATGATGAATTCTTCCTTGTCATTACATCACCCTTCCAATCACCTTTCTTACCGTTTGTGCAAGATTAATATGCAATAAATCAATTTCTAGACTATCAACAATGACACTACATAGCGATAACCCGCCAAAACCACAGTTCTGATTAGCTGTTAAATGCCTGTTTTCAAATGGCTGTGTCATGACGAGACAGCAAATACACCAGCTCTGAAGTTCATGGCTGCAGGATCTCCAGGCATTTTATCAGGATGAGGAAGTGTTGACACATACTGCTGAAGGTAACAGTTTGAAAGTGATAATTTAAAAGTTCTTTTAACTTTTTAACACGGAACGGCCGCAATGCTCTTTTAAGAAGACAACAACGACTGATGTTCCCGAGACCTTAAAAGGAATTTCAGGTTAGAAAAAGCAACTCTGATCATTTGTAATGCAAGCTCCTATCTATTCCTATCTTCCTCTTGCTATACAGAAGTCTCGGGTCTCTCCTTTGCCGTTACGGACAGTACTGGGACAGCTGTTTAACTCCTCATTTCCGAGCGCAGGAGCGCAGTTTGATCCTTGCTCTGCCCCACAGCGCGATTCCGGGGGGAGCTCTTCCCTTCCATGGCGGACCCCGGGCCACGCCACCCAACTTCACAAGAACGAACCCGGAGCTTGCCCAGAGCCCGCCCCGCTGTGGCGCCTGGCGGGGAGGCCTGGGCCCGCCGCGCTCACCTCCTCGCCGGGGGTGGCCGGGCACTTCTTGCGCAGGCAGCCCCAGTTGAGGAGATTGCCAGTCTGCAGCGTGAGGGTGCCCGCCCGCTCCAGCAGGGCGCGAGCGCCGTCCGTCCCCATCGGGAAGCCGGGCACAGCTACAGCGGCGGCCCCGCTCCGCTCCGCTCCGCCCGCCGCCGCCGCCGCACCGGGCAGCACCGCGCCGTGACTCAGCACAAATACCGGCGGGGGGGGGGGGGGGGATGCTTTGTAACCGTCCCCGGTCACATGGCACGAGCACAATGGGCGGCAGGGCGGGCCCAGCGCAGGAAGCAGCGCGACAGCCCGGCACAGCGCCCCGCCTCACGGCACCTCTACGCGGCCCCGTCGCGCCCAGCCACACGGCTATGCCACACGGCCGCGACGCAAAAACCTTCCTCGGCCGGCCTCGCGGTCCCGCCGCCTCGCCTGTTACCGGGCGGATTGGCGGGAGGCGGGGCCGCGGGCGGGCTGTGGCGACCGCTGAGCGGGATCCCTCTATCAGTGCATCTGCCTGTCCGTGCATCTGCCTGTCCGTGCATCTGCCTGTCCGTGCATCTGTCTGTCAGTGCATCTGCCTGTCCGTACATCTGTCTGTCAGTGCATCTGTCCGTGCATCTGTCTGTCAGTGCATCTGCCTGTCCGTACATCTGTCTGTCAGTGCATCTGTCAGTGCATCTGCCTGTCCGTGCATCTGTCTGTTCGTACATCTGTCTGTCAGTGCATCTGTCTGTCTGTCCCTCTGTCTATCTGATCCCCGGCACACATCTCTGCTGGTACCCCCCACTGGTTCCGCTGCTGCACCCTGAGCCGCCTGCCCTGCTCCTTGCCTGCGGCGGGGCCTCTGTCACTGGTGGGACCATCGTATCACTGTAGAAACGTCACTCCTCAGCAGCTCTGCAGGCCTGGTCGTGCTAGCAAAACCATGCGGACTGTAGCCATGATGCTTTTAGGTGACAGACAGTCGTTGGTAGACCCTAAGTGGCCCAAAGGGAAACCAAGCACTTACATGGTTGGGTTATGTCTATATTTGATGGCACTTTAAACTTACATCTAAACCTAACTCCAGTTTTACACTAGCTGATCTCATTGCAGACACATCAAGGGAAACAAAGGGTTATGACTTGGGGGTGTTTTTAAGAGCAGGCCACACGATGAACCTTAAATTCCTTCTGTATTGGAGATTTGGGGTAGTGGTGGTTGGTGTTAACTACAGTTAAGGGGAACAGTTAGCCACAAACTAGTTGTGCTGTCGGCACAGCGATGTGAGTTGTGTTTCTAACAGATTTCCTTCCCCAGGCTACACGTTGTGCTAACACAGGGAACCAATCTGCATAACTTCTGTCAGCCTGAAGCACTGCCTGATCGCTTTTGGGTACAGAAGGTTAGTTTAATTGTTCTTTACATTTGCCTTCTGATTACTTTTCCATATTGGACAACTTTCATGTGTTTGAAATGTTTTCCGTGCTGTGTGAACACAGAGCATCTGGGAGTGACACACACTGAGAGAGAAAACTGTCAGCTGATGGAAAAGCTGTAATTTTGTTTCCTTTGACATAAAACCCCAGAAGGTCCAACCTGGCCCAAAGTTTGACCATTCAGACTCGTGGTCATCTCGAGAAGGCGCGTACACCTCTCCATACACCTCCTAGGCTTACCCATATTTACACTAGTAGTGAATCCTGTCCTGTCATGTGCTCTTGATTGGCCCTCCAGCTTTCCAGCAGAGGCCTTTTCTTTGGGTGAAACTTATTTTTTGATATTCCATTTAAGTAACTTTGATAGTTAGGATTCCATGGAAGCAGGTTAAATTTAGGGATTGCTGAAGGTTTTCAAACAGCACACAGCATGTGTCTTTCTCTCTAATGGAAATCTATGGCAGTGAAAAACCAATGTTCCTTTAGAGCAGCGTAGAATTTGCTGATATTTAATTACCCTAGCTCTTGAAAAAGGATATCACATAAGGAAGACTGGGTGGAGGAAAAGCAGCGCCAGCCTCTGTACTGCTTTATGCTATGCATTTAATTCTCAGCGGCGGCAGGAACATATCACAGGAGAAGGGATCTCAGCAGAGTTCTGTTGTCAGTCCGATCACCCCTGAAACACAATGTAAACTACCAGAGGAAGAAAGGAGGATGCTTCTAGTGCAGGTTATCTCATGAAGCTACTTTAGAGCTGCAAAAAAAAAAAAAACCCTGGAACACGATTGATTTCCTGTAGCAATTCTGCAACGTTCAAAGCAAAATAACCCTCCCCCCTTGACAGACAGGCCACAGAACCGACGCGCCAGGCGGTCGGTGAGCATCGCTCTCCTCTCCCAGCCGTGCGGGCAGTGCACGGAGCCGCCGGGGCCCCGCAGCATGGACCCGGGCGGGGCGGGGGGTCCGGGCGCCGCCTGATTGGCCGCAGCGTGGTGCCCGGGGCCGGTGCCGCGGCGGGAGGCGGCCGGAGGCGGCCCGCAGGATGGGCACCAGAGCCGGCTTCTTCGAGGTGGGTGCGGGCCGTGCCGGGGGGGCGGACGGGGCTAGCCCGGGCTGGGGCCCGCAGCATCCTGCCGTCGGCAGACGGGGCTGCGCGGTGTCCCGGCGGGCTCCTCTCTTTTCCCCCTCCATCTGCATTGGAGCACCCGGGAACCGGAGCCATCCGCTCCAGGATCTGCCCAGCCAAGTGCCAGCCCCTGGCCCCGGGCGGAGGGAGCCGGTAGGGAGGGCTTACGCCGCTCGGAATGGGGTTCCTTGGGGAGAAGGGGCTCCAGCCCACCCTGTCCTTGCCTTTCCCTGGCACTCTCCCCTCGCCGCTCCTCCTCCCCGCGGCCCCGGTGGTCCTCGGACGTGGCCCCGGAGAAAGAAGAGAGAGGAGGAGTCCGCGGAGGCGCAGGATCAATGGCTCTGGGCTTCCCGGGGATTCTCCGGAGCCGTGATCAGGCTGCCGGGATGGGTCTGGCAGCGCATCCCGGCCATAGGGAAAGAGCGAGAGCGAGGAATGTTCTCGGCACCTTCTGTCCCCAACTTCTGGGAAGACCCCGCCGCCCGGTGCGTTAGAGTCTTGCGTGGGAAACCATAAATCGCCAGACGGAGTTCAGTACAGTCAGGTCCTTGTGTACAGAGTGCAGAGTAACGTGCACTGGTGAGTGTGAGGTGTAATGAATCTCACCAACTTATATAAATAGCCACACCGACTCTCTGCTAGAATTAGTGAGGCTGGAGAACACAAAAATGCTTCAGTGGCTTGCGTTGCAGAAACAGGTCGGTACAAGCTAAACGGCAGCAATCCTGTGTTCCTGCAGGCTCACGCTCCAGTTTCTGCAGCACGACTTGCCTAAAAGTGAACGCACCTCCTTCCCCCGGGCACAATCCAAACCATGATAACGTTCACAGAGTTCAAAACCACCTGAAAAGTGACTGCTCCTCTATTACTTACCATGGCCTAAAAGTTCTTATTTTGCTTTTCAAAGCTCTCATGGAATCCTAGGTTGGAAGAGACCTTAAGGATCACCTGCTCCAACCTTTCTAGGCAAAGCATGACCTAGACTAGATGTCCCAGCACCCTGTCCAGCCAAATCTTAACAGTGTCCAACACTGGGGAATAGAAATAGTATAAAAGTGTTCTGGAAATGACAAACAATTTAGCAAAATAAGCTGGCTCTGGCTCTTGTGAGTGCAAGGTAGGGACCTACAACCTGCCTTTTCCTCTGCAGTGTTGGCTTCCCTGGTTCCTAAAAGGAAAAGCAACCAAGCTTTTCACTGCCTCCTGAATATCTACCAGTGTCCCATGCTCTTGGGAGATCCAAATGGAGGAGCAGGCATATGTGTATTACCCTTCTGAATGTCTTTGGTCGTTGTCTGCTCTGCAGGTTTGCTCTTCTGCCTGAACTTCTAAATAGCACTGGTTACTGGAAGACATCAAAAGCACAGACATCATTATTGTCACTTGACTTTACAGATGTGGCAACACATGAAAGCGGAGTGATCTACTCCATCTTGCTAGGCACAAAGTCTTAGGTAGCTCTGAGCAGTGCTGTTGTGTATCACTCTCTGCACTGGTCTCCCCACAGAGTTCCTTTCTGTTACAAATTCATTGATTTTGAATTCTGACTTGCATTTCCCCACTGTGCATTCAAAACTGAGCTTTCAAAAGAGAGGTGGTAAGTGTCCCCACCTCTCCCAATCTCTGTAGGTGTTACAAATGTTAACATTCCCTGTCTGAGGAACTGTAGCATTCTGAACTTTCCCCCGTATATCTTTAAACCATTTACCCTTTATTGCTATTCTATGGCACTTCCTTATAGGAATCACGAGGCACTTTGCGATCACCAAACTGTGGCTGACTGAATTGTTTAGGATACGACTGTTCCAAGTTTAGCAGAGGTTCACTGGTGGAATGTTTCTTCCTGTTTTGTTGAGTTTGTGCATTTGATCACACTTAGTACACAATCAATTTCACAGGTTCCTGAGAACATAGCATGCATGGATAAAATTACTCTCTAGTGAGCAGACCTGCAAAAAGATGGGCAAGAACGTCAGGCTGATTGTGAGTGTCCACTGGCTGTTAATTCCCTTCCTTTTCTTTATCGGAGTCTTTCTCAGTGCAGCTAAGACAAAAACACTTAAAAAATAGGCAACATGGTATTACAGTGACTACTAAGAAGCCAGTGAAAGGCAGATTCAGCTTTGGAAGTACTTTTAACCCTTTATTTTGAATTAGCTGTGTTGAAACAACCAAGAATTAAGAATTAGCAACCACCTAATTCAGCTGGGTGTAATGCTGGGTGTAATGGATGGATAGCAAGAACACCCAGAGTGTCTGAGTGATTTCCCTCTACTCATGTCTGTGGCAGAACCAGTGTGCAAAGCCACGTCCCTGTACTCCTTCCTAGACTTATGTCTCCCTGACTGCCTCTACATTTCTTATTCTGTAATAATGCCAGATTAGGTCTTGTCTACTTCAAGTACTGGTATGGTTCTAATTTCACCTCAGGTTTTTTATCACTTAATCACATAGGAAAAGCTTAGGAAGAACAGCTACAGTTTAAAGAAATACTTGCATACCTGAAAGTACTGCACCTTAGAATTTGAGGAGATTCACCTCCACAAATGTAGAGATTTATGGTAGAGACCTGTATCTAGATAACTAATATTCTCTAGGAGTGCTCATTTCTCCAAATTGATTAGAGCTCTTCTGACCTATTTCACCTATGCTTCAGAGCTTATGATACAGTTTATCCTAAAAGTGCCTGCTTTTCTCCTTTCCATACAAAGGATGTCTATGTGCCATGCTCGGATGTAAATGTCTGTAGTGGAGAGCTCTGAAGTTAGGCTGGTGAATCCTACTTTTTCTTTCTGCTTGACAGGTCCAGGTCTGCAAAAGCATTTCACGTAAAGAAAATGGTATGATGCTCTGACTTCCTGGGGGAAAGATACTTGAACAAATGCACTCATACTGTAGAAAATCAGTGGCGTAAGAGCCGCAGTTGTACTTTTGCTTCCTTAACTGGTTTGAATGTGAAGTGCCTTTTGTGAGCAGTGATAGCCAAAAGTGTTTTGGAGCCTTCCCTCCTTGAGGATAGACTGAACTGACATGTGCAGTACAGTCTAAAAGCAATAATGTACTGCCCTCCCTTCCTGGCATTTAAAGTTTCCCCCCTTCTGCCTGCCATGAAAACCCTCTGGATGCAAGGCAGGGGGTGCCTGCTGCCAAGCTGACATTGCTGAGATGTCACAGCTCCTGTTACAAAGGCTTCTCCCACTCAGAGCTTTGCTGTCTAGAGCCTCATCGACTAAGAGCATGAGAGCAAGTGCCAAAAGCAGGACTGCAGATGAGTTTAAGAGTCTGTATCCTCCAAGAGCTGCCTGAACAAGACAAGGCCACACGAGAGATATTTGAATGATCATTTAAAGGGACACTGGTGGAATTTTTGCTCCAATTCGGAGACATTTGCTCTGTTCTCACAAGTAACACATAGATTATTGTCACAGAAAGAGATGAGATGATAGGGAAAAATATTCTCCCTTTCTCTTCCTTCACCACTTCTCCACACACTTACCAACACATTCTAACACTCAGTTGTGCTGCTTTACTTAAAAGACAGCAATTTGTCCTTTTTTCTCTATAGAGCTTGAGAGAGAAACCCAGTTTTGCATAGAAAAATATGCTAGTAAAACATTACTTGGGAGGAAGTAATCAGAATTTGAAGGCTATGTTTAAAATCAAGTCCTATTTTAGAAAAAATAATGGACTTCTCTGAAGTATATTGTAACAGATTAATACAAATCTTGTAAATTCACCTGTCAGTGTAAGGTCCAAACTTCCCAGGGCTTCCAGTCCTCCTGCCCTGTAAAAAACAGCAGACCCATCCTTGATGGGAAAAAATAAAAAGGGGGGAAAAGGTATCTCTCTCTCTTCATTCTCTTCAATTCCATGTCAAAAGCATACACTGGATATACATTTTTGTCATCTATACACCAAATGATCCATGAACAGTAGTAATGGAACTACAGATACTGAAGTTAAACATTGCAAATCACAGTGCAAAGAAATAATTATGATTTCACTAAGAATTTATAAATCTCTTCTACCTAAATATTATCACCATAAATTAAAGCCCTGAGGCAACAAACATTCTCTTGAACATGGAAAAGGCTACACAGTGGTGTTGAAAAACTTGGATGTCTACTTAGTGTTGAGTCAAAGCTGGCTGAGGTTCTCAGATGGAGTTAATCCAGCCTGCTGCATAGTGACAGTGATACTCAGTGAATGATGTGACTCTTCAGTATGCCTGGGAAATTGGCAATGTGCAGCTCTCTGTTAGCCAGTGTAAGTAAATGCCCACTGAGTCAGTATTCACTGGTGCAGGTTCCTTTCCAATCTTGTGTATCCTCCTGGAAGATGTCATGCTAGTAAAAGCTGGAAACCTTTCATAGGCTTTCAAGAGCCAGAATTCACTGTGAAATCACAAACCTCTAACAGATCTTTCTTTTGTCAGAAATAAACCAGCCTCCCACTTTGAGGGAACCCACCCTCCTTTTCCTTCCTGACAGTTCTTACACTGACTCCTTTTATCTCCTGCCAATTACATAAATGGATTTGTTTTTCTGAAGGATCACCATCTGTAGCTCTACGTCTGTTACAGTCCTGGTCCAGGTCCACAAGACAGCTTGTGGTGTGCCATGCCTTCAGGTTAGGCACCCAGCTGCAAGAGCAGATTGGACAATATTGTTAAGGTATCCAAGTTTACATCAACTCTATCCCTTCACTGTGTGGTATCCCAAATGGCATCCACTGTAGGGAAACGCTGAACAGAGTTACAATGAAAAGGAGCAGTGCTTGAAGCAGCCCAGAGACAGGAATTCAGAATTTCTCTTTGTTAGGAGACTGTGCTTTCCACTGGAATACACTCCAGTCTTTTCCTACCTGTACTTTTTGGTCTCTCTTGAATCCTTCATTCCTTGATGTTGGCTCAAGCCAGCTATGGGCAGAGTGGGGAATGGCAGAATGCCACTTCCTGGCAATGTGTCTAACCATTATCTACACAGCATGAAGAAGTAGATCATCTTCTTTGCTAACAGTTTAGTTTCATTCAAAAATACTCTAAATGCTGTGCATTGTGCTGAGCTTGGGATAAGGATGCTTACTGGATCAAGGTCCTCCAGGATTTAGATGCAAGCATGCCTAACTAACAGATCTGAAACAGGTGAAAGAACTAAAAATGTACCATGAGTTTCAGCACAGTTCATACAGTGGTGCTCCTTGTTTTGCATAGGCACAGAATTTAGGAAGCTGAGGAGTAAGCACCTAGTGTAAATCTTGTGAACCTGTAAATGTTAGACATCCAAATTCTACAAAAGTGAAATTTAATTGCATAAAACCTTCTCAGTATGGGTGCACTGTATCCTTTCTCTTTATACACAGTCAAACAATGTAATAAAGTTTTAGTCTCTTGAAATGTGAGCTAATTGCTCCAGAGAGGTAAGGTTCTACTTAGTTGGACTACTTACAGAATAAAGTATAGCCCTCCACAGGTAAGATGGTGACATTTCGATTTGTGGTTAAACATTTGCCTTTGGTTCTGCTTTGGGATTCCTCACACAGCATGGAATTCCCCGCCTCAGGACACTGTGCATGCAACAAGTTTACACTGGTTTAAAGGGCCCTTTGGCTTAACAATATTGACTTCAAGGAAGTTATTCCTGATATGCCCTTGTGTGAGATCACACTAAGGCATGCTTCCTTTCTTCAGGAACAAAACAATCTACCAGAAAAGTCTCAGGAGACAGAAAAAATGGCTAATTCCATAGGAAAATAAAAAGGTAAGAAAAAGGTAGTTAGGACTGGGCAACCACTGGATTTTTTTAAGTGTTAAACTCAAGGCACCTGACTTGTGTAAGCACTCTAATAGCTGAGACAGAATGAATTCTGCATAACTCTTTCTCAGGCTGATTAGTTCCTCCACTGTAAAATAAGCAGGGCTTCTTTACTGAGTGATTTAGAAAGAAATCAATACAATAAATGCTTATGTCAGTCTCACAACATCTCAGCTGCAGTTTACTCAATCTGCTGAGTACAAATGGCTGCAAATACAACTTTCAAGACATGATAAATGTGTCAGTATTGCCATAATAGTTATCATATAATTTCTGAAGATCTGCTGATCCTTAAGCACTTGATATGGCTTTAAACTATTTAAACAGGAATTTGATCAACTCTAGTTTTTTGTAATTCTACCGCAGGGACACTGCATCCTAAAAATTCATTTTTAAATGCTCTTTGCTCAACTGTGTTTCCCCCATGAATAAACTTTTCCCCCTTTTGTTTTCTGAATTAAAGTTTAACTGCTGAAGGTACTTTTCTCTGCTTATATCATGTATTGATAATATCCTTTGCCCTCCAGCTTTTCTAAGCAATAACAATTAAGATTTTTTCTGTTTTGAAAGCCACTATCAATCTTTAATCCTTATACAATAGATTTGTCATCTTAACATTGGAGATACATATTTATAGTTACTTATAAAAGAGTTTTAACATAGCTATCCTTGCACAAATGTGCCTATTATCGATTAAGTTCTACTCAATGTAGTTTTAGAGAAGCTGTAATTTAAAATACCTTTAAAAATTCACACAAGAAGTGGACTGTAAGTCATCCTGCACTAGTGCAAGCCAACAGTCAGTGTCTAAATGTGCTAAATGCTGTGAAAACACATAGAAATTCAAGTTCTCTGAGCCAAACCATTTCTGTTTGAAAGGGATAATACCCATCAGTAAGTGTTCCAAAAACAGATTGCTGGGTATCTAAAAACTGTTGCCAACCAACACATTAACTGACTTGGTGCTGTGCCTGAAGACTGGAAACACTGTGTTCAGTGCCACCTGGGTTCATGTGGTTGGCCATTATGTTCAGAAAAGATAACATTTCTTGATATCAGAAAAGATGTAATCTCTGTCCCTTAAGCAGGGAACATCTAAACTCTGGGGGATGTTCTGATACAGCTAAGAGGTTTGAAATTAGAATAAATGGTCACCTTGTTTTCAATCTGTCATTGCTTTCTACGGACTGGAGTGGAATCTGAAGTTGTTCCATCTTTCTGAAAAGGGAAAGAAAGGTTGATATTTGCTTAGATCTTGAAAGTAACTGAAAGTAATTGAAATGCCTGAAGTTCAGGAATGGGTGTCCAAAAAAAGGAAAAATAAAAATAGGAACATTGGATAATTTAGGTTGCAAGGGACTTCTTGAAGTCATGTAGTCCAATTCCTGCTCAAAGCAGATACAACTAGATCAAATGGCACTGCGTCTTGTCCAGTCCAATTTAAAATACCTCCAAGGATGGAGATTCCACAGCCTCTCTAGGCAATATTTTTCCAATGTTTGGCCAAGATCATGGTGAAAAATTTTCCTTGTATATCTGATTGGACTTTCCCTTATTGCAACTGGTGTCTGTTGCTTCTCACCATTATCGTGCAATGGTTTGCATTGGAAGGGACCTTAAGCTCATCCAGTCCCAACCCCCTGCCATAGACAGGGACACCTTCCACTAGAGCAGGTTGCTCCAAGCCCCTGTGTCCAATCTGGCCTTGAACACTGCCAGGGATGGGGCAGCCACAGCTTCTCTGAGCACCCTGTGCCAGCGCCTCAGCACCCTCACAGTGAAGAACCCCAAGAGCTCATCTCAGGCTCCCCTCTGGCAAGTTAAAGCCACTCCCCTTGTCCTGTCACTACAGGCCCTTGTAAAAAGTCCCTCTTCAGTTTTCTTGAAGTGCCCTTGTAGGCACATTATCACTGTGCACCTTCAAGAAGAGTCTGGATTATCTTTATAGACTTCCTTTAAATATTTGAAGAAATGGGCCAGTACAGGCAGGTATGTCAGTTTGCCAGTTCAAAAAGACGTGGTAGAATAGAACCAAAATCAGTATAGAGCATCTTGGGTAATTTGTTTTCCACGCTAATTCCAGAGGTTCACAGAAGTACCTAATTTTCTGCACAGCCACTCTCATGCAAACTGCAGAGCAAAAGAAAATGCTCCATGATTTTCAGTCGGACCATTGTGCATAATGAGAATAACCCTACTAAAAGAGAATGCGTGGCAGAAAGACATCCAAAACCAATCTGTAATTGGCCTGGAGGAGGTTTCTCTAATACAGCCACTGAAGACCAAAAACTACCCCTGGGGAATCCTGATCCAAAATATGTATGCTGGGAGTGGGTATGGAATGGGAAGGGGACTGCTAAAACTGTGGGTACTGCTGCAATCTGTAGGGCAGCCCAATGGTATTCACTGACACAAGAGTTTTGAGATACACCAAAAGTTCCTCATAGGAACTCGGCATCAGAAGGAACAAAAAATGTTTTACAACCCCCACAGTACTTGTTCTGTGGACTGCAACAGTCAAAATGCTATGTTTCAAGAACCACCCTCTGGGAAGGGAGTTCACTTCATTTGCTTTCCCATGGAGATGATCCACAGGGACATTAAAACTTGAAATTTGGGTTATTTCAAATATAAAAAATGAAGGGAAAACACATAATATCCCAATAATCTATCACATATTTGTTACTTATCCCAAAGGAGGAAAAATACTTACCTCCCTTGATGTCACACTTAGAGCTTACAATGGACAGGTAGAAAATATCACTGCATTGGTATCCCTTGTGGAGATCAGATCTTATAGTTCTGGCTGAAGTGCTGCACCAATAGAGAAAGAACAATTTGGGACAAGTAAACCACAGAAATAAGATACTCTAACCAACTGATCTCTTCAAAGCAACCCTATTAAAAAGATACTGGACTGTGACTCCTATTTTTAGTAAGGAATCATATTTAAAGTCTAATGTTAATCCATCTTCTTGGCCAGTTAATACCAAATGTAATTCATGCTAGATGTTTATTTTAAAAACCCCCACAAATCCAAACAACAAACTCTTTCAGTACAAAGTAATGACAGTCCCAGTCACTTAGTGTGACAGATAAACTCTGGACTTCCATTCTTAGCTCTACCACAAAGTTCCTTTACAGTGTTTGATGGGAACAAATGAAATCAAAGCACCACTTCTGTATTTCAGGTTTTGCTATCCTGCTGCAACTGGGCTTTAAGACATCTCGGACCTTTTCTGCTTGGCTGTTGATTAAAATCATGACCTTTTGCCAAAGTGCCATTTGATCACAGAAATAAAGTGCTCTTTCCTTTTCAGAGCTGTAGCTAAACCATGGCTTGGAGTGTAAAATGCTAAAATGTAGCTACTAACACAGGTGATCTGAGAGGCAAGAGTAATGCCAAATATTCCTACAACAATCTCTTAAGGACCTGTGAAGTCCAGATCTTTAGCTGCATTTGTTCACTATGTCCACTAACATTTTTCAATCTCTTTACAATTAAAATATTCTGGAAACAATGCACATTAATCTTCAATATGTATGTACTCTGAATATTGCTTACAGGCATATATATGCACTTGCTACTCCCAACTCTCTTTCTACTTTTACAAATCATAAACATTGTGTTCCTTAGTGATTCTTGTGAATTCCTGTCTCTGCCCCATAGTTGCTCCTCTTGCTGTAGCATAATACCCCAGATCAGTGTGTTTTGATCAATAAGTTAGCTATTTCTGCTTCTGAATACAATTTATTTAGCAAAAAGTCTCTTTTATTTGCAAGTTGTGCGCTTTGAGAACCTGGCTATGATTAAAGCGGTCTCTTGAGCACACCAGAAGTGTCCACACATCTGAGAAATATGGTGTCTCACCCTGAGCAATGATTGTGAATTCAGGAAGCAAGTGAGAGTTTAGAGATTATTCATCTGATCATTAGTAATTCTAATTTTGTGTCCTATCAGGTGGAAATCCTTGACTGGAAGACAAAGGAACAGCTATGCTTCCTAGATAAGGTAAACCCAAAACCTGTTTAAAAGGCTAGGTGACTATTTAAAAACTAATAACTTTTCTTAAGTAAACTTAGTGTTTATGAAGGGTATCTAATTTCCTGATAGCCTTCCTTTGGCTGATAAAGAGGCAACGATTATACACACTTCATACTGATTATAGACTCCTTCAACCCTTTTCCAGAAGGAGCTTTTGGGCAAAGAGGACAAGTTCAGCTGCTTCAGTGAGATTGTGCCAGTTGTGTTTTACTCACTCATAAGCCACCAAAGTGTCAATGCTGTTGTAGTAACCCTTGATCATTGTTACAGAAGCTGCCTCTGAAGCAGATGTCACAAATTATCCCCCCTTTTTCCTGCAAGAAGTACCTTGAACCACCCATACCAATGCAGCCATCTGTTAAAAAGTTATGCTGTCACACTGTTTGAGTAACATTTCTGCTTGAATACTCTCAGACCTAGTTATTGTCTATCAAAGAATGCATCTCACATATACCATATTTTTTTGTTGTTGCCTAGGTGGAACCAAATGCCACAATTAGGGAAATCAGATTGATGTTCCATAAGTTATGTGAGTATAACTTTTGCAGCAGTTTGCATCACAACAGAATACACAGCATATAAATAGGAGAAAATGATGTCATTTGAAACATGTGATGTGCACACACATAATGCTGAGTAACCTGCATATTAATGTGATCACAGGGATATTTCAGTGTAGTTTTTTTATCCTGGTACACCTTTGTATTTTTGTAATGCTGCAGAATTTCTCACAGCTATTCGTATTGAATAAATACCCCTACAGATTTCAACTAAATCTTCTCTTGTTGTGTTGCACTCATTATAGTATTGGATGATCTAAAACATCATGTATCACACAATTCTGTATGGTCTTACAGATCCTCGGTGGTATCCAGCAAGGCAGTCGATAAAACTTGATCCAAGTAAGTACTTGTGAGGAACAGAGTAACAAAGCTCTGAGCAGGGGCCTGGCACAAAAGGTGTACTTTGCATGGGTATTAGCTCTTAGGAATGAGTTTCCAGCTATGTTAATTAGCACTACAAAGGCTGAAGAGAACCCAGAATAAATTGAGTACTTTGAAAGTATTGAACATATTTCCACCCATGTGCCTGGTGCTTGGTAATTAACTCAGGACTCTGCACATCATTCCAATGCACTTTCTAACTACTGAGCACTTGTGTTCTCAAGACAGGCAGCACAGAATTGTGATACCAATTTCCCTTAGTTGCAGTGAAATGATCCCCACAGAGATGCTCAGCTGAGAGCACTAAAAAGGGCTATGAATTAGAGCTCTCAATTCACATAATCCTCTGCTCTCAGGCAGGAATGACAGTTCTTTTGAGGTAAGCTAATGCAAAACACATTGCCATGCATGTAGGATTTGCTGACAAAGCTGATGCCAGCTGGCTGGCTTCGTTAATGCAGTAGTAGGTATTGCTACTAGAAGCCTCTTAGTACATGGCCTGGGTACACAAAGAAAGTCTAATTACCAAGCTGTGCTAATTCATCTTAGCTTTCAGTATAAAATGTGGCAAATTCTTTTACTTCCAGTAAGTGTAATTTTATTTAAACAGTTCCTTACAAGTATACTGGTGAGAATTAGTAGGATCTGTCCATGGAAACAGGCCTATGAGTATCTTATTCCCTTCTTCAAAGATCTACCTTACCAGGTTCCTCCATGGACTTATGTTATGAGACTTGCAATGAGAAAATCCAGGCTTTCTGGAGATTCCCCCAAATCTAGGCATTAGAAACTTGAGAATGAGCTAAAGTGCTGTGGATCACCTCCTAGCTGGTTGGTTGGCAAGAAAAGGAAACATTGAAAACCTGTAGGAAAGCCTTCCTATCTCAGATTATGCTAGCTTCTGTTTGTTTGACAGGGAGCAATGATAAGAGATGAAAGAGATGGAGGTGCAGCTGACAAGGAGGTCAGTGAACGATGGTGAAAGTCAGTGACCCAACAGCAAATTCTGCTGTAGCAGTAATGAAGCAAGTCTACTAGACTAGGCAGGCACACAGGACCAAAAATTCTCCTAACTGACCTAGAGGATCCAGGGTTTTATGTGATTACAGGGATAAATGGTAATTAAGTATAAACATCCTCAGTTTGTTTATTGAGATTCCAATAAAGCCACATCACCTCAAAGACTCCCACAGACGAGTTAAAGCACAATATAAAGTTAATACACTGCCAAAGTTGACTTGAATTTCACTGATGTAATTACTTCTTTCCTTCTCAGAAGGAAAGTCCCTGAGGGATGAGGAAATCCTGCAGAACCTCCCTGTTGGCACAACTGCTACCTTATACTTTAAAGATTTAGGGCCACAGATAGGATGGACTACGGTGAGCTATGCTTTAAGCCTGAGCCATTTTAATGGTTAATTTTTCCTTACATCGGTTTTTGTCTCCAATATTTCTGCATGATGCCTGCTCTGATAGTGGATGCAGGCAATGAATCTTTACTGCTTCAGTTCATTTAACCAGGGAAAGCAGTAAGAGGATATTCTGAATGCCTAGTTCCCTGGGAGAGCAGCAGGGGAAAACTTGCTGCAGGGTAGGCTGGCTCTGCTGAACTAACGTTCAGGTTCTCAGATGAATTTAGATGTCTACTGCAACATCAGTAGGAACTAGGTGCCTAAATGCTTTTGGGGATCTGCTTCACGGTGCCTGCAGAACTCTTCTGACAAAGATCAGGATTATACTCCTACAAGTTTGTCCTGAAGAAAGGCATGTGACAACTTCACATGTCAGCAACTGAAGGGAGTTCACAAAGTAAGATCAGTAAGTAGCTGTCTGTGTGTGGCTGCTGGTGGCAAGCGAGTGACAGCTGATAATTTCTGCAGCATTAGCAGCCATTCACAAAGACCTCGCATATTTACTGTCTTAGCTCAAATGCAAATCCTGTACTTGGCAGGCAACTTGTTTATGCAGTGAGGAGACCAATGACCCTTCCAGTTCTTCAGAAGGCCCATGATGCACATATTACACTAGTTCTAAGGAAGCAGCACAGAACGAAAAAATACCACATAATTTAAAGGCATGTTTGCCATTTCTTAGGTATGAGACATTAATAAAACCTTGTGTTAATGACAAAGAGCAAAGACAGCATTCATAGGAGGGAAAATAAAGGAAATCAAATGTTCTGCAAGACTGAATCTTCACATCATTACTTTGCATGCAATGCTGATAAATCAGGCAGCTATTTCACAACAGTAAGACAGGCAAAAGCTTCTAATGGCCATGTAGATTCCAAGACACATGTACGTTAATATATACCAAAATATCACAGCGCAGATTAACACCAAACTTCTGCCATTCCATAATCATTCCTTTCCATTCTGCTCTCCCTGGCTTTCAAGCTACTTCAAATGTGAAGCAAGAAATACTTCAATATTATAAAATAAAGAAGATAAACTTGTCATCTACAATCAAACCCGATCCTCACTGGAGAAAATGCTGATTTGTACAGAAGTTGATAACACAACTTGTCTGAGCGTCAAAATAACTGTAATACATTAGAAAACAGTGGTTGGGCTTTGGTTTCTGGTTTTGGTTTTTATTGACAGAAGTGCAATTGATTTCCCTTCTTTCTCCATAAATGAGGTATGGGCCTACCTTCCTCACCTGCAGAAGTGTGAATAATTCAACTGTTAATGTTTGGTCCAAGGTTAACTTGACTTTAAAGTGATGCTCCTCAGAAATGCACATCTATCTGAAATGAAACCTAGTTAGATAATAGCTTCTTTGCTTTCCGCTCTCCTTTTTTTTATTCCTCTTTGTGTTCAAATTAAAGACTGTTTGAACACATAATGTATTGATTGTTTCCCAGGCTGTGCTAACTGCTCATACAGATGGGGTCACCCGTGAACACTTACGATCTGTGTTTCCAGTTTTAACAAAATAAATTCCTTAGAAGCAAAGCTCCTCTTTTCCAAGACAAATTCTTCACCAGATTTCATTTTAACCCAAAATAAAGCAATAATTTTTCAGGGCTAGAGGAGGGTGAGAGCTGCGTAAATGTAACATGCATGCATATTTATCATGATCTCTGGGCTGCTGTTACTATCTTTTCATGCTCACACTATGTCAGCTGCACTAGCAATAGCTGTTTGTATGCAATGGAGGCAAATGCACTGCAAAATGTTTACATGCATGTCTACCAGTTTCATAGCCTAAGCCCAAACCTGCTGTTCAGTCCCTGCCTCTCTAAATGCCATCTTGGGTCTGTGGAGGGGTTTATCCCACTGCATTATCGCTAAGAAACCAATGCAAAATCATCATGTAATTCAGCTGTCTAATGATTTTCTCTCTTTTTGCAGGTATTTTTGATAGAATATACAGGTCCATTGTTCATCTATTTTCTGTTTTATTTCCGCATGCCTTTTGTCTATGGACTGGATGAGAGGTTTACATCAAGTCCGCATCCAGTAGTTAAGTAAGTCCTTTTTCAGGCCTGAGCAAGTATTTCTTGTTAGCATTGTAGTCTTATTCCAAATGTCTTGCCACACTTGTTTTTTTAAGCACTCTTAAATGCTTTTGTCTTGCTGTTTCTAGCTTGGCATGTATCTGCCATTCTTTCCACTACATCAAAAGGTTGATTGAAACAGTATTTGTTCATCGGTTCTCCCATGGGACTATGCCACTGAGGAATATTGTGAAGGTAAATTGTGTCAGCATCTATCCATGGTCCCTCTTGCAAATCCAACCTAGCCAACCTATGCTCTGCCTCTGCAGCACAGACCTTTTGGTGTGGCTTTTGCAGTAATACACAGCAAATCTCACCTGTAAAGCTGTAGTTCTACCAAGAGATTTCTTAATGTCGCTATTGTATAACCCACATGTTGCCATACTGTTATTCATGTTATAATAGTCTCATTGCTCTTTCAGAATCACTCAGCTAGCTTCCTGGCAGAGAAGGTTTTAGTAACAGCATGATGTTTCAACATAGCACAGGAAGGCACAATGTTGAATGGTTTTGCCCTGAACACTGTCTTTACTGTTAAGCAACTGCTAATTTACTTGGGATCCAGCACAAAGCAGTTTGGTTGTTCTGTATTTTCTTCTCCTGCAAGAGCACTCCCTAATGTTCCTACTGCTGCTGTGCAATAGGGCAGTTGTTGAGATGCAGGCCTAGATGTCTGTGAAGTAGTACAGTGAACTGCCTGGTTATGAGCAGGCTGCAGTTATTTTACAAATGGCTGCAACAGAATACACAAAGCTATTCAAATACATGTTTTATATTCAGGAAGACAGGCATATAGTATCAGCATTTGGGTATCTAACATTTGGTATTTAGACAGACCCCTGGAATTTGCCTTATGGCAATCATACTTCCAGCAGCCGAAGCTCTACCTTGTGGCTAACTCCTAATGGATGTGTTCTGGTAGTTCTGGTAGCAGCTTCATGCTTTCCAAATGGAGGGAGGGTCTGTAGTTGAGCAGCGGCCCTCGGGAAGAATCCTTCCTGGCAAGTTACGGTGTTTTCTGCAGTGGAAGGGTGCAGGGGTTGTTAAAAGGCTAGTAGATTTCTTAAAGCCTTGTTCTTGACACAGGAGCAGCTAATGCATGCTAAACAGCAGAAAAATGAGCAACTTTACCTTGAAAAAGGATGTGTACAGTGTGGTAAGTTTTCATTTTCTCACTGCTGTCTCTGACAACTACTTGTTCCTTTCAGACCATACAAACTTGTTGCTAAAATTGACATTTGTACTGATCATTCCGATTGCTTCAACTTTTCCACCTTCTCAGGTTGGTTGTACTCGCTTTCATCTGTAAAGTTGCTCACAGTTCTTCTTCTATCTCTTAGCAGTGCTTGGGTTTGATTTGCTTGTATAATTTCATTTACTTCAGTGTTTTTACTCCAAAATTGTGCCAGTGAGAAAAGTATCATATCTTCTTCCTTTTTCCTCTCACATACAGGTGGTAGACAAAGCTTCTTGCTTCAAGTGTTTGATCACATACATAGCAGATATACATAGACTATTTCCTAAGCACCTGGAACGTTATCTTTAATAAGACCCACTTCAGTCTCAGTAAACAGAGATCTGAGACAGGAATTGATGAGATTTGTGATTTTCATCCTTTGTTTCCCAAATGGAAATAGGAATAAATAATGCCATAAAATGCAGCAGGGGTTCATCAAAAGCAGAAATGTAGAATATATGTGGACTTAGTAAACAACTGGCTCAGACTGAATAAGATAGGGATGAATACAAAAATTGTGTGGTGATAAAGGAACTAACTAAAGGAAAGATGATTGTGGTTGTGCTGGAAAAGCATGTCAGGCCTTTAATAATAGGGAGGTACCAGTGGAATTCCTCAAAGATTATAACCTTATAACTAGTCTCACTGAACATTTGCATGGGTAAATAGAAGGGATATTGCTGCTTTCTATAAAAACACCTGGAGGAAAAAAAAACCCTAGACCTAAAGAAATACCATTTAAACCAGAAGACAATATAATGAGACAAACAGAAGGGTACATGCTAGTCATGAATAAACATAGGCAGGGCATTAAGGAATAGTTGTGGCCATCATAGGGATCATCAGTTAGAACAGAGAAAATAAAAGTCCTAGCCATAATTTTGTGAACTTAGGAATAATTTATTTATGGGATCCCTGCAAGATTTGATCTTGATCCACAATTTTTTATGTTTTTTTTCATAAAAGATTTTTGTAAAACTGTATTATTTACCTGGAATATGAAACAGTCACAGAAACAATTTCTTTCAAAAGTCTGCATGTAGTCTGCGTATACTCTTCCCATCTGAACCTCACTGGAGGCTTTATGAGCAATATGACTTCTAGTGGCATCTAGACATTTGTAGTGTTACTGCTAAGGACCTTAGCAGTGGCAGACTCCACTCTTAAAGCTCCTTTCCTTATAACTGAGGAATACTCTTGCAGCAAAACATGTTATTTGGATGAACAGTACTTGCTTAGCTTAATTACATCATGTATTGTTGGGAGCTGAGCCATGATAATTTATTTGTTTACTGAAATACATTGCCCTATGACCCATCCTGTGCCAAGCCCTGAAGTTAGGGACAGGTTTTTCATAAGATGCCATTTCAAGATTACAAGAAACTGTTTCCTCCTAGGTTTGTACAGTAGTTAGTAAATTGTAGGTTATGCTGGAAGAAGCTAGTGTTAGGGAGGAAGAAGTAGTTTATGGATAGAACACCCACTAAACTGTTCCTCATGGGAGTCATTCTGGCTCTGCTGCATTTCCTGAGGAAAAGGGAAGTAATCACAGGGCAGGGGGGTTGGAACTAGATGATCTTAAGGTGCTTTCCAACACTAACTATTCTATGATTCTATAATTCTCTTATGTCCCACCTGATCTGTAATTACTGGATAATAATTTGCTCTTTCTCATCAGTTAGCTATTAATATACAATCTCAGAGCAAGGACATACTGTGTGCTTGTATTACAGCATACCCCAAAGGGTGTCCATTTTGTCTGAGGTCTCTGAGAACTTCAGTGGTTCAATTAACTCTGAAATGGAAGTGGGAAGACAACAAAATGTTTGATACCAACATTTGCAACAGATGGGAAGGCTTACCCTTCACCAGCATTTGCAGCAAAACACACCAGCAGACACTGCAGTCAGGTAGTATGGGCTGCAGATGCTGAGGTAACCACTTGTTTGGGGTATTATTACCAGAAATTCAGTTCTGGTTTGTATAGGCTGAAAAATTCCAAATAAAATACCAAACAGTTAGACCAGCCAGAACAGGAAAGAATGCAGCCTTAAATAAGGATTTTGTCTTCATGAGCAGGAAAGGAAAGCTGTGAAGGAGAAAGCAGAAAGACCTAGAAGTCTTTAAGGTATGTGAACCTATGGAAAGCCAAGAAAAAAGCATCGCAAGAAAGAGTAAGAGGAGCAGTGCTTCACTTAAGTGAAAACAGGAGGGAAGGAAAGATCAGAGAAAGGAAAAGAACAGGAGAAATGGTGAAAGGAAGATGAAGAGCTCAGTTTTGGTCTTGCTGAAGTGCAGATGATAACCAAACATGCCCTAAAACATGAAAAGCTGAGGCACTAGGTTTGATAAAAGAAGAAATCTCAACTGATGAGAGGCAAATTTCAGAGTTGTTGACAAGGGTTAAGGTCGGTCTCTGCAAGACCCACAGGTGGGAGCATAGAGGAAGAAGAGGAATAGGCCAACAAAGGGCCTTCCTCCTACCTATATGGTGGGAGAAGATAACCTGTCACCAAGGTAATGAATGAGTGTCATAAGAAAAACCACAAACAGCAGGGCAAGGAAATCCAAATGAGAGGCAGAGATTGACATTGTAAGTCGTTTTTCATGGATGAAGCCTGTGAACAAGCTTTGAGATTTGTCAGCCCAGCCATGAGGTATTTTAGCAGAGTTTAGAGAATGGAAGCTGGGTCACAGAAAGCCAATGACAGCAGCAAAAGGGACAAACTAAAGATACCACAGTGCAAGGGCAAAGGAAAACGTCAGGCACCATGACTGTAGGTAGGGAAAGTTAAATCATGGGAAAGAAAGAAAGAAAGAAAACTGATGGGGTGAAGGAGAAGAGGAAAGGCAAGAGATTGGGCAATACAAGGTAATAAGCAGAGAAGAAGCACAGTGCCTAAATCTGGTTTTACAAAGCCTCAGTGGTCAGCATAACAGGTCTCTCTTCACCATACAGCCTAGGTGGCACTTCATCTTTTGGATCTTTTGGCTTGCCAGACAAAATGGGATTTGTTTTCAGTACTATGATCATATGTTCCAAAACTGTTTACAAACTTAATAGCTTCAAGATATTTGTCAGGAAATCTTACTGGATGCGCACTATGTTCTTCCTGTAATCTCCTGTTGTCTGCTCCCGCCTTACCACACTTAGTACTGTCATTTTCTGTTGTATTATCAGTGGCTTGAAGAATCAGCCCAATTCATTGCTATCAGTGGTCCTTGCAGTGAATACTGGCCTAGAGGATTGTACTAAAGCAAAGAAAAATTCCCTGTTTTTCAGAACTGCTTGTATTACTGGGGATTTGCAGCTTGGCTTGCTTATTACATCAATCATCCTCTTTACACTCCTCCTTGTAAGTAGCAAAACAACTCTCTATGATTTAAGTACTTACATATTTGCCTATTTGTGCTACTCACATGTAAACTTTTTTGTTTTTATAGCTTATGGGAAAAAACAGATAAATTTTGCTGTGATCATGTTTCTGGTAGGTTTGTTGTTCTTTTAATAAAATGACAAACACATTGCTTTATTTCTGATGTTGTATAAGCAGGGGAGTGACTAGGATAAGCAGGTACTTAGAACTTCAACAGCTGGGACATACTATGAAGCTGACCACTTGCATACTGAACAGATCTATTCAGTTTTTAATGTGATCTTGTACACAAGGGTAGATTTTGATTCAGTATCCATTCCAAGAGTGGGATAATTATCTCTCATAACCTTTAAAAGAAGCCTTGAACTATCAGTGTGTGACACTGTGTTTAAAAGCCGGTGAGTTTGTTTTGTGAACTGTTTTAGTGTTAAGGATCACAACAGATCACAAAACTCAGAAAACTGGCCAACTAAGCAAGTATATACCTGTTGCTGATCATTTCCAGGGATAGGTGTTCATTTGGTGGGCTTCAGAAGTTTTTTATAGTTTTCCTTAGGAAGAAAAAGCCTTAAGTCACTGCCTGTTCGTTCTCACAGTTCCTAGGAACATTTCATACATGCAGAAGCAACATTAGAGTAGCCGACAAGATGTACCCATTCTTTCTATGTATATGTAACTTGTTTAGAACATCAGCTGTTCACTTGCTTTGAGAAACTGTCAGTAACTAGAGGATCTCATAGCAGCTTCGCAGTAGGAAAATTCTGTGAGTTCATCACCTGTTTTCATTTTATAGAGAGACTACATTGCTGAAAGCACAGAGCCGGCAATAAAACTCAGGAGCTCTGAGCACCAGTCATTTGCTTTAATAGTTATGCTTTGCAGATGCTGGAGACTGCCCATAATTGTGTAAATGGGTCATTTCAATACACTTCCTGCATAATTGATTGGTGAGGCATTATTTCAAATCCATGGAGGAAGCTGGGTCAATTATATTTCATGATTCTTATACTCTAAAGAAGAAAACTTAAGAGTCCTTAATTTTCTTTAGGATTCTAGTAACTTTTGAGAAACCAGAACTATTCAAATGATAGGTTTTTTGGTGATTTTAAAGACGTAAGTATAATCAAAACATAAAGCAAGTTTTTATCAAAAGATAAGCAAGGTTTACTTTTATCCCCTTTGGTTTACTGCGTTTAGATCTCATAGGGATTATATACGCAGTAAATTTGATCCTTTGGACAGAGAGTCCACATTTGCTGGCAAATCTCATAAATATATGTGAGTATAATATAAGTACGTACAAGTACAATATGGGCTCATCTTTGAACCAAGACATTCCGTCCCCCTGTCAGACGGCAACTGTGGTTAAGGATATTTATTATGCTTATGATAGATTCTTTCCTCTTATTCCCCCCTTTTTTGTAAGTACCCCAGGAAATAACAAAAGGAAGAAGAGTCAATAGAAGGGAAGCACATGTTTAACCCTGTCATGCTTTTTTCTTGCAGCTGTGTGAAGCTGGAAATTTTTCCATTCACGTTGCACTCAGTGACCTCCAGAGAAATGGTAAAAACTGCACTTTGGTGCAGCCATTCAGTACTTCTACAGTTACTCTACCTCATGAAAGAGGGATCCTGGAGGGTGTTGATACCTGCTAGCTGACTGCTGTGGGAGCACAGGTTGCTCAGAGCTGTTGAGATTGGATCCTACAGGAGATCAGACAGTACAAGGAATCCAAGATTGTTAAACAGCACTTCCTATCTTAGTGGAATTTTGACCAGTTCAGATTGTGTCGGGAGGAGCAGTTGTATTAGTTACACTGGTAGTGCAAAAGGAAACAGAGCTAGTATAAGCTATGCTTTGGTGAGCAAAGGGAAGTAATTTCACTGGCTTCTATAGTGGGGCACAAGATCTCTGTTGAGGCCTGGATTCCTTAGGCAGGAGTCAAACATCATACAGCTATCAACTGTGACTGCTAAAATCCCCATTTTGTGACAACCTAAGAAAACCTTTAACTTCTAAATCTAAAACTTAAGGTACACCTCTTCTTACGGGAGTGGCTGTGATCAAAGGCATATGTAGATGATTTTCTAATGCCCAGAACATTTCCTCCCATTCCTTCTCGTGTCCAGAGGACATCCTGTTTTCCCCCCACATCCTGCTTGTCCTTCTGACAGTGATGAGACACACGAGTAGGCAGAGTTGGGTTGTCTTTATAGGAAACAATATACTTAGGAATGTGAACATTTTGTGATTTGTTTTCTGATCTATAGGATCCAAAACCCGTAAGATCCCATATCCAACAAAGAATCCTTTCACATGGCTGTTTTTCTTTGTATCTTGCCCTAACTATACATATGAGGTATGTATTTTCAAACAAGATGTTTAGATTTTAGTTTGGCTGAATATATTTTCATTTCTTTTGGAATGTTAAACATGAAACAGTTCAGTTCAATACCTTTCCCCTCCTCTCCTAAACCCCATGAAATCAGATTTCAGACAGGAACTTGTCTGGTTTTCCTCTCCTTCACTGAGGCAGTACTTACAAGGGCTAACTGTAAACAGATAGTCCAGACCCTGTGCCTGTGCTTCAGGTTGGACTTGATCTTAAAGATCTTTTCCAACCTAGTTGACTCTATGAGTCTAAAGCAGTGCAAATTTTGCAGACAAGAACAGGGAAATAATTGCCACTGAATGTATGCTGCAGTGAGGGGATGGGAGCGTCTGGTGGTTATAATATGAGGAATATCACACACAAATAGAATACACTGTGGTAGAGGAAAACAGACCCAGGTCGACCTCCCCATTTCTTGTCATGCAGTTGCTTGTGTTGGTTGTGATTCTTTCAGAAGCTTGAATCATTTTTATTGCTTCATATTCCTTAATCAGGAGCCAAACTCCTGACTCAGGTTCAAAAGCAGTTAAAACCAGTGCAACTCAGTGTAAAATTCACTCTTGCACAGAAAGACAGCATCAGGTTTTAACTTCAGAGGTGATTAACAGATGTTAATGAGAAGAGAACTTGGCCTCAGACAGGAAGTTATCATTCCTGGCACTGACGATAAATACAAAGTAGGCAGAGAAATGGAAAGGACACTATGTTGTAATGCTTACCTTTTTTTCATGGAAATAGCTGTAGAAGCAAACATGAAGGTTTTGTTTGTGATAAGAAGGCACTGTTCACCTTTTTGGCTAAAGGTTATTAACACTAGAAACTGATCTGGCTGACCTTGGCTTTTTTATTTACCTATACTAGGACAAGGTTGGTTTTGATCAATAGAGACATAAATGCAAATGCTGTCACCAGAAACATTTTAAATTTCCTTGGCCAAAACAGGTGGGGACCTGGATCAGTTTCACTATCATGACTCAGTGTGTTCCAGGTGAGTAATGTTTTGGTACTTCCTCCTGAAGTGATGTCAGCAACAAGATCAAGTTTTTAATCTGATACTGAAATGTATCTTTTTCTCCCTTCTTTCCAGTGGGGCTGTTCACTTTGCTTTGCTTCATTCAGATGACAGTCTGGGCAAAGGATAAACACTGCACCTACCTGCGAGAATTCAAGGATTATCCAAGTCTTCGAATGCCAATTATTCCCTTTTTGTTGTAAGAAAAAAGGTTGCATTTGAATATTGCACAGAACTTCAAGAAGAAAAAGCTTATAAACCTCCTCCCAAATAAGTGAATAAATGTAAAGGGTTTTGATGCATGTTGAATCTCCACTGCTGAGGGAAACTGTATGCACTTGAAAGCTACACTTCTGTATATTCAAGAATTCTCAACTCAGAAGCACCTTCTAGAAATAGGGCTTCACTGCACAGCTGGCAGTCAAAAGCCCCTAGAGTTCACTGTAACCTGACTGACTTAGATTATGTACAAGTCTATTTAGATTGATGGATCAGAGATACTGAGAAGTCTGTGCTGAAAAGCAGCTCCAAATTTAGCAGTGGCATTCTGCAAGACGTAAGTACATTGGAATGAGGACATACCAGCTAACTACTGGAGAGCTCAGTTCAGCCAGCCTGAATACAGTTGCATGATCTGCCCTCTTTGACTTGAAGAAGAGTGTGCTGCCTGGAGGCAGGTGCTTTGTAACACATAACATTACCAAAGAATATGAATGGTTTTCTGGAATAAAGAAATAGGCAATATCTGAAATACCTGATTTGGGTCTAACCCCTAATTTGCCAAAAGAATGTCAAGTGAGAAGCAATTTGTAGTATTTGAGGATGTAACACCCTGTGTTGATGGTGCTTGGTGGGGTTTCTGTTTGGTTGGTTTCAGTCTTCTGCATTAGTAGATTGCATACTAGTAAATAAGGTTCAGAAGATCTGATCTATGCTATATCTGTGATATTTGGCCTGTTTTCCTATAACAAGTCCTTATGATACTAAAGGACCTTTTACCCTGCAATTTATGTCAGTATTCTCTGAATATTTTTTTATACACTTTGTAGATACATGAAGTGACTGCTAGTCCTCAGCTCCCTTCCTATTTTCAGAGCCAAGAAGAAAAATCAGCTACAATTTTGGACTTCCTGTGTTTTCTTTTTCACAACATGTTCAGTGGGACTTAGCTGGGTTTTGTGCAAAACCTAGTAAAAAAAAAAAAAGACTATTGCATTCTATCTGAATTACATTTTCAAGAAACTATTTTAGCATATGAAGAGAATGCATAGATACTGTTTTGTTTCATGATTCATTTATTTCTCTCTAATGGATGTATAGAAGGATTTTTTCAACTATTTGTAAGGGTGAAATATGCAATAAATTCTAGACTTTATTTTGAAATCAGTTGAAATAATTATGGCAAAAGAAGAAAATTACAGCTGGTTGCTGAAGTTTCATTATATTTTGTAGAGTAAAAAGTAAGAATGTCCTTAGATTAAAAAAAAATCTACATCAAGCAATGAAAAAAAACCTAACAAAGCAAAGAAACCCCACATGACCCAGATTTTATTTCTATATAACGTATCTCAGAGAGGATTTCTTAGAAATGGTTAGACCTGGTAGGTAACTGAAGCAATACATCATCGCGAATTTGTTTTGTGTTGACATTTTCCACTGGTTTAACTGTGAAGCAGAGAAAAGAACTAAATGCCAAATGGTTTCCCACTGAGTGCAGTGTGGAGCACAAGCAGGCTGAAATTCTCTTTCTGAGCACAGAGAAAAGCACATACCTTATTCATACTTTACACCCACTTCAGGTCCAATTACAGGAAAGAAGGAAAAATTGATCCTGTTTAGTAACAAAGATACCTTTCCACACCTCCATGAGGAAACAAAACTTTTGGCAGATTTGGACATACTTTCTTGCCTTTTAATCTCCATTTTGACATTATGCTTCTATTGAAGAAAATTTGGACATACTTTCTTGCCTTTTAATCTCCATTTTGACATTATGCTTTTATTGAAGAAACTGGAAGATGAGTATGAGATCATTTTCATTAAGGTTTGGTTTTTTTTTAAAAGCAAATTTCTTGCCTGGGTCTGAGATCTGAATTAATTCTTCCCATTCATGCTGAGACAACTGTCTGTTTTCACTGGCAGCCTGGTGAGACATGAAGAAGTCTCCCAGCACTAGCCCCATCAGCCAGCACTGATGTTCTGACTTTGGTAGTCATGCACACTCAGGATGGCAGGAATCCACTTCTCAGCTGGGCCATGCTCTCTGCACTGGGACCTGTCTGCTGACTGGTCTAGTTGACTTAAAGAAGAAACCTACCAGTCTAAAAGGGCCAGCTGGAGAACCTACCTTTAATGCTCTATACATGTGAACAAGGAAGAATAAGATGTATCCTCTTGTATCTTATAATGAAGATAGAGGAAGATTTTGTTCTATAGCAAGGACCTGCCGTTCCTTTGACATTTTCAGCATATACTGTTCCATATAGAGCAGTAGAAGTTTGCTGTTGCTAGGGCTGTTGCTGTTGCAAGCACAGTGCTCAGAAAGGTGCAAAAAAAAGTCAGTATAATACTGAGGGTGGGGACCTTTGTTTGAGCCTTGTACTCCTCTGGTATGGCACATCTTTGCACTGTGCACACTCGAAGTGCTAGTGACTGTAGGAAGTCTATGCAACTGCCTGCTGGTGCAAAGCAGGGGACACCTTAGCTTCTCGGCTGGCTCCAGCTGCACGGGGGTGCAAAGGGATTTCCTCATCCTCCATCTGATGTTTAGCAAAGTTCACAAAAACCTGTGTGAGGAAAGCAGAAAATGTCACCATCTCATCAACTGAGATGAGTTCATGGAATGTCTCTGTACATGTGCATCCTCTTGGCCTCTCTGTAGGGAAGAGACAGGGAATTTGTAGACATGAACTGGGACACTGTGTATCAGCAGAGATCATTAATTCCTTCTTTATTTTGATAAACTTCCTTGCAACTTCCTTCCTTTGGATGCACTTGCTTGTCACTAAAATCCTTCTTCTTAAGCAGAAGATGGATTCAGCCAGGTTTGCCTGGCTTGCACAGCATGAGTGAGTTTGGTTGTGATGAGGAAAAGGAGACTGAATATTTTAGTAGAAAGCTGTAAGGCAGCCAGGAATGTCTCTCTAATATTCCCAAAGACACCTTTGAATATGTGGACCCTCAGCTGCCTAGGAAAGCAGGCACATAGGGCTAATACCCCCTAACAAATGGGTGTTGCCAAAAGTCCCAGTGAACTTCCTAGGTTTTGTGTGTTTAATTGCTCCTGCATAACCGTGCATGACAGGGAGCTATCAACATTTAACAGATATCATGCTATCTCTGACACAACACAGTCCGAATCTCTTATTAATAAACAAACATTATTCCCAGCTCAGCAAGCCTCATTCTGAATACCTGACCTTGCTCAGTCTGCTGCTCCTTAAGGAATGGGTTGTGAGAATACTGTCATCTGGGAAAATTTCTTACCAGATTTCAAATGACACTTATTTACACATGGAAATAATTACAGACCTCATATCTGATCCATCCTCCTTGACTAGGGGTCTGAGAATTTTGCCTGAGAAAGAGGCGTGAGATAATTCTCTACTCTGTACAGTTTGATCCTTCAGTTGCTGGGATACAGCCCCATTGCATTGCCAAGGTCTGGTCAAGACAGGCTTTCTCATGGATGCTTTATCTTTCACTCACCTGATCTAAAGTTGTTTGAGACACAGAATATTCTTCAATATGCAAGTTTTCCTTATTGGAGACTATTAACCGAAAAATCTTGGCCAGAGAGGAGGAGCAGATCTGATACTGCAGCATATTGTAGTGTTTCTCTCTCTGTAAACTCCCTGGGAAGTTCATGCGTATGAATTGCTCAGCAGGAGTAGGATCTGGAGGCAGCCCAGACTTTGGAGCTTTGATTTTCAGAGTGACAATGTAGCCATCTCCAAACCTGGGAAACACATGGGGAAAAAGAGACGGTTTCATTCTACAGGAAGGAAATTAATTTTCTGCAGCTATGAAAACATTAATAGTATCTCAAAGATAATGCATAATATCTAGCTTTGTAGGAGGCCTGGCGTTTGCCCTGCAGAACAGAGTTGAAATGGTATCTGCTCAAATTGTCTGGGATACCACAGCTGCACCCAGAAATAGGTCTGTTTAAACAACAGCTATTTAGAATGGATTACTGTTTTAAGAATGGTACATGTCACATACACTAAGTTTCCCCACTAAAAACACCATAAAAGTATTCTACTTACTTGTATTTTAGTTGCTGAATTGTGCCCAGGCATTTGAAGGTACCTTTTACCATGATGGCTAAACGAGTGCAGAGGGCTTCACATTCTTCCATACTGTCAAAACAGAGAACAGATACTTGAGGTAAAAGGCAGCAGATGAACTTCATCTGCTCTGGAATTCTGAATTCTGTTTACCTGTGTGAGGTTAGAACCACAGCTCTCCCATCTCTGAGCACACTGACAATAGCTTTAAACACTGAAGTAGATTTAAGTTGAAGGCAGAGGAGCTTGCAAGAACTGTCATAAAAAAATTCTGTTTACCTGTGTGAGGTTAGAACCACAGCTCTCCCATCTCTGAGCACACTGACAATAGAGTCCCACAGGAGGCGGCGGGACTGAGGGTCCATTCCAGTTGTTGGTTCATCCTGTAAGGGAAATGTTAAGACACTCCGACTTAGATAAGCAGGTAAGAAAATATATTTTGAATCAAGTTATTGTGTGTTTAGGTCTTGGTATATTGCTGCTTCTCTGCTAAAATCTGTGCCTTCAGAAAGCACATGCAGCTTGAGAAGTATATGAGTAAATGGGTACTAATGTACTTGGCAGAAAGCAGGAAGGAAACAAGCACAAGAAACTGTAGGTAAGGATGTAATGCTGTCACTGTGTAAGGTGCAGCTACAGGGAAGAGAATGCAGTGACTATTACAACAAATGCAGCATCCACTCTAGCTTCTTAGATATAAAAAATGTAAGCATTTGTGATACCCCATTATAAAACCATTTGGGACCCTAAACATAACTAAAGGGAAAAAGGCTTACACAGTTACATCAAATTGTGTCAAGTTTGGCTCCCATGTTTTCATGGACATTAGAGATGTAGGTCAATATGCTGGAGAAACAAAGAGAAGAATCTCATATCTGCAATACTAGCTTTGAAGCAGAGATGGACACTTCAAATGAAATCCTTGTTTTCTAGGGCAACAACTCGTCTAAGAGGAGAGTGAGTTCTCCCCACGTAAACTTCCTGCTTACAAAAACATATAGGACAGATTTCTCAACCCAGGAAGCCAGTAAAGTTACTCTGATTCACACCAGCTAAGGATCTGGTCCTGCATAAATCACTTAACCCAGTTAGTAACAAAAAAGGATTGAAAAAATCTTGGAGAAAAAAAGCATTCATTTAACATTTTGTCTTAAGATATCATGAGAAGATATTTTAGCTGTTATGTACAGGCAGAGTACCTGTAATGGCACATTAAATGGCACAAGGAACCATACTATTAAAATGTTATTAAAATGTTTCTTTTCAGCCTACAAAAAAGTGGCACAGTATAATCTAAATAAAGAACTTTTGCAGTAATTGCATTAAAAGTTTTCCTCAAGATACGCAATTATCCGATATGTTATTTGATGAGAGCTACATTTCAGCTTTTGTATAGTTTAGTCAAAATTTGTGTAATTTATTCCAAAGATATTAAAGGCTGCAAAACAATAGCTACTTTCCTCTGTTCCACTGGATAAAGCAGCAAGGTATATGTCATAAGATCATTTTCTACATGAGTGGTTCTAATCTGACAAAAAAAAGGCAGACTGAAACCAAACATGAATTTAAATTCAGATTCAGCTGAACTATAGATTTTATCTCAAACCACTCTTTATTGAAGAGCTTTTTTTCATCATCACTTGGGGTCGATTTGAAACAGTTCTGCATCCAAGCCTATCCCTGAAATTAAAGAGCTCAGCAGAGCTTTAAACACTGAAGTAGATTTAAGTTGAAGGCAGAGGAGCTTGCAAAAACTGTCATAAACATCCTTGTACCTCTTTAGCATGTAGTTTTATGAGATGTTATATTCAACTATTGCAGAGCTGTGTCATCATGACACTTACCAGCAAGATGAGTGGTGGGCAGCCTATCAGTGCAATGGCAGTGGAAAGCTTGCGCTTGTTGCCACCACTGTAGGTACCAGCCAGGTGGTCTGCATACATTGGAAGCCCCAGCTTCTGGATCCCCCATTCAGCAACCTGTGAGAAAGACCATCTTTTTCACACAGCAGCTAATGCATAACGGACAGGACTGCTGATACATCCCTCTTCTGTCAGACATGGCAATCCCCTGGGTTTTAGCACATTCGTCTTGGAACTGGAGCAGGGCAGACCAAAAATTTTATGATGATGAGGGGAATTCTAAGTATTGAGGGAAAGCCATAAACCAGCCTGAGCTGTAGACTCCTATCTGTGCAAGTATTTAAATTACTTTCTTCTGGAATCTTGTGTTTTCTTTCTTATGCATAAACAGCTTTAAAAACAAGAGCAAAACAGCAATCAGTGCAGTTCTGAGTCATGGCAACTGCATCTTTAGACTTCCACAGTTGGCGCCACTGTTTTGCAA